TTACAGTCTAACTCTTCCATGCCGCTGGACTACAGAGCTCGCTTCGGGATAAGTTATTCGTGTACCACCATCGGCATTTCCCTGATCACGGCTCAGATCACGAAAATACCGCAGCAGCTCCGTCAGGACGGCTGGGAGACCCATAACCTGAGCTTAAATCACAACCGGAGATCACAAGCATAAACCACAGGCAAAGATCAAGTATCCATCCATCTGCCCACCCGCCATACCGCGATCGTGTCACGAACTACTCACCCTGGGATGGCGGGGAACTGCGCGCACTGCCGTACGACACTTGTGTTTCGGCACAGCTGCATGTACGGCCTGCATCCGCTCATTCCAGGCATGTCGACGCAGATGGTGGCGAGCAGCGTCATGGGCCGGCAGAAGTCGCCCGTGACTTGGCCGGCCTGTGCACAACACACCGCGGGGGGGGGAAGAAGCAGGGAATGCGGGAATGAGAGGTTTAGGTGGTTGTGGATGTGGGCACAAAGCAGCGGCGGCAAGCTCTGGGGCCCATCCAGGGGTATTGTGGGGGGACATGTGGCGGCTGAAAGGCACCAAGGGGCCAAAGCAGGTGGGGAGCACTGAGGGCCGCAGGGCCACTACCCCCTTTCCGAGCAGGGGGTAGCATCGTGCAGCATAATGGGCCCCGTGTTAGTCGGCTGGCTTGTCGACCCAACGAATGGATGTACAGCTGCCGCATCAGGCAATGACTGGGTACAGGGTCACAACAGTACTATTGCTGCGCCGGAGCAAATGTTGCACCCAGGACGCAAAGAGGGACGGCCCCACGCACCTGGCATGCAAAGCGAATCGTACAGCCTGGCATGTACGGCATAGACGTACACAGCGAATCCAGATCCGCGGTCATGTTGGCGAGAGGGTACTCGTACGATGCACAAGCCGGCAGTGATGAGTTTGCAACGCATGGCAAAGACGGGGGCGGCGCGCCTGCGATAGCAAGCGGCTCCGGTGGCGGCGACGGGGGTCTTGGGGGTGCGGTTCTGAGGTTCTTCCCGCACAGGGCACTGGCGCCAAGGGCACACAGCGCATCCAGCCCGCCGCACTGGTCCATGGGCATCCCGATGCAACCGGCGCTAAGAGAGGCTGCAGGAGAGGGAAAAAAGGGAGGGCCGCAGCAGGACCGCAGCAGGTGCACACAAGATCCGTGAATTACTAACACCCGGAGAAAGGAGGGAGGCAGAGCACAATGGACCCGGCGTGCCCTGGTCCCTGAGGCGCATGCGCAGCAGCCAGACAAAGACGGACCCATGGGTCGGAGGATGGGCGTGGAGGTGCAGACAGAAGCCTCATCTATCTATCATCGGGGGATGAGGCTGAAAGAAGAATCCGATTGCAGCACGCAAAAGGGGGTGATGAGGAGGACTGGGGCGGAGGGCTGCCGATATCCACATAGCGAGCTGCTGACATGCCAATCTAATGGCCGTACTGGATCCATGCCAATTGAGCACTCGATGCGCCTTGCGGATCCGGTCCCGAATCCGCCCGGCTCACATGATGCATTGGCCCGGCGGTGACTCACCCAGCGGGTCAGGGCAGGACTGCCTGGTGCACGTGTCACAACCCGCCATGGGCTCCCAGAAACCCTCCATCTGATCGCAGGCGGTGAGGTGCAGGGCCTTGATGGAGGAGGTGCTCGTGATAGGGTAAGGCGGAAGGCAACGCTGGAACTCGGTGATGCTCGAGTACGCCGCGCGCAGCCTGCACGTGCATGGCATGTACGTTTAAAGTTTTTCGTGTGTTCATGGGCACATGAACGCGTCACATGCGATTTGGGGCGGGGGGTTGAGGGTAATGGGCGAGACTCGGCTAGAAGTCAAGGCACGGGATCCCAGGACGGCGGCGCCATGGCTGTCTTGCAGGTCGATGGTTTCAGAAGCTGCAGCAGATAAAGCCGCTACCGTGCTGGTGTGCTGGAGCCTTGGTTTCTGACAGCCTCTACCTCCAGAAGACTGAAACGCATCGATTATGGTGCCCTAATTGCTGGCTCATATAGCGCCATATGTAGCTTGGGAGGCGTCATGGATCGGCAGGACTAACGGGCGCCTTTTTCAACATGTTGTGTGTATGTTGCATGAGAGCGTATGTGGGATGAAGGGTGGGCCCCTTGGAATACAGCAACGAAGTCTTACTGCGTGCACAAGCCGATGGACGCCACGGCCGTGTCGTCGTTGCACAAGCTGCTCGCGATCTTTACTGTGGTGCACAGCTGAGGAAATATGGCGGGCGTGAGGGTCTGGTTATTACAGAAGCGATACATGCTGCATCCAATAGAGCTCCGCGCGGGCTCGGTGCTGCAAGCGGCCACAAGCGCCGAGTGGAATACGACGGGCGGCGTCGGGCAAGTTTGCGCGGTTGCGCCGATCAGCAGCGCCAGTATGATTACAAATCCACATACAAGTGGATGTGATGATCTGGACGCTCGCGATCGTGACATCGCGGAGACGCGCGCGTTACTCTGGGTTGTCGAAATCTGCATGAAATCAACACTGCAGATGCCCTTTGCAACAAGCGAGCTTCAGATTGACCAAATATGCTTTGCGGACCAATGTTCCTCTCTATTCACGCAGCGGGCAAAGAACCTTATTAATGTGTGACTGTTCGGCCCACCACAGATCAAGAAACAGGAAAGAGAGGTTTGCAGCCCATCTATGAAAAGCTCTATATATCGCGGCAGGCATGCTGCCTTTTATGTGCCTTGGTGTGGGCGAAGGCTCAGCGCAAATTGTACCGGTTTCCGGTATGGGTTAAATTATACTACGCCTGTCTAGCCCGTTGAAGGGCAATATAAGTATAAAGTAATATAGAGAAAATTTTTACTGCTGATAAACGATAATCGGTGCTTTTCGTTTACTGAACGCATGCCAAGTCAACCCCCAAGGCACTAGCACCACGATCTGAAGCTCCACTTGGTAGAGCATTGTTGAAATGAGCGGTACTAAGCATAGTTATTCCAGTCTTGACCCAGATTCCTACTTACTATCTGCTTTACTTGTACAATCGCCAACATGTCCTCCACGAAACGTTTTCGTTCCTGCATGTGTCCGCAGACTTTTACATGGCAAAGAATAGATTATAGTTGACCGTCAGCCATGGCATTTATCGCAGCTTTGTTAGATGCATAGCTGGTATCGGCCAAGAAGCTAGACCGGCCTGGGCCGCCGGGGTCGTGCTGCCATCTATCTGACCGCCAAACATCGCACGAATCACCAAGTTGTTGCTAACAGACTCATATTGCACTTCTTGAGCATAACTTTCGCACACCGGCTATGTATGACTAAATGCCATCCGGCGCCTCGAAAAGCCATGTTGCATCGAGGATTAGCGCGCTGCACAGGTACATACATCTGAAATTAGCTCCAGGAGGTTTTGAAGCAAAGGATACGCCGGTACGCAAGCACCTAAACTTAGGCCGGTCGTTTCGTTCACTGTACTCATACATGAAATTACTTTCCGTAATAAGTAAAACGCATCCAGTTAACGTCTCCGTATAATCATATTAGCGTCCTGGGCTGCAAACGCAGTTTTGCGAATCCATACAAGCGAATTGGCCGGATATGAACTATGCAATCCACTAGAAGTTTCGGCTGCAATCTGCAGCCTTTGGGGAGGGATTCAAGCAAATGAACGGCAGCTTAGTATTCCTGATGGGATTAATATAGACTTCTGCCATGCAAGCTGGAGCTTGCGGGCAAACTCGATCGTTGCGCATTTCCGATTTCTGCAAAACGAGACGCCTCTTGCGAAGGCGGGCTCGAATAAGCAACTGTGGCTACGAATCGCGTCCATCTAATCGAAGGAGCCCTTTCATCCTGTATGAGCAGCAGACGGAGCATGAGCTTTGCATACTTGTTTTGGAGACCTTTACGCGATGTCAACCGAAGATAAACTGCTTCAACTAGGGACAGCAGTGCCGCAAATCTGTGTCATGCCATACGCCATTCATTTTCTCTTTATCTCCTAGTCGGAGAACCAGCTGGCGCCAGCCGGCAGCAGCCAGGCGGGAGGACGAATCGGCAGACAATCGCGCCGCTTATTCCGGCCTGTAACCCCCCAAACCTCAGCTCATTTGCAACGTCCCAGCGACTTACAACGCAATGGCAATGTATGTTCAGAAGGAGCGTCACAAGTCTTGCACACAAAGGGAGGTCGCGTAAGCCCTGCGTAACAAGCAGCACAAGCAAAACGTGCGGCGATGCAGGCCGATGACTTCTTTCCTTCAATTCGATCCTCTCTGGTCCGGTGATAGTCATTAGGCCTCCTTAAAGCTGAAAATTATTGTCCTCCCATCCAAAAATGTTCATAGAGAATCCCGCAACATGGCAGGATCGGAAAGAATAGGGTTGGACAAAAATCCACCACACAGAACCAGCTCGGAGTTATTCAGCTCCCGTGTAGCAGCTGGCCCCGCTGAAAAGGCCTCTCGAGATACTGGTAGACCACCTTAGCGCGTATCTGTAGTTGTAATGTGTGCCGTACAGTGTACCGGCTACTACATCCCTCCAGTTGCCGCCAGTTTGTATACTGTGGTTGCATAGCAGCCCTTAACTTTGCAGCTTTACCCATACGGCCTGCTACTTTGTCGACCTTGGGCGCGCTGTCATGCCTCAGTCGCACCGTATAGCGCCAACTGCCTGCAGGTGCTTCAAATGTCCGCTGGTGCTTTGTAAGACCACCACCACCACCACCACTATCTGGCATTATCCCAGTTTGATTTCCCCGCAAAACCGCTGTGCCGCTGCTACCAATTGCAGAAGCTAGCAGCTGAAAAGGCCTCTCGAGATGCTGGTCGTGCGCTTCGCGCGTATTTGTTGATGATATGTGTGCCGTACTGCGTAACCAGCTTCTACACTAAAACATTATAGCGTCGCTTCGCACGCTGCCACAACGGCTCCAACCCGAACCCGTAACAACCCGAAGCGAAGTGGGTACGCCCCTTCCTTGATGTGAAGCAATCAGGCATAGGCAGTCCAAGAGAATTACATTACATTACACAGGCATAGGTTACAATCACGTAGGCTACCGCTTCCCTGCGCGGCGCAGTGTGCAGCCGTCCACACATAATCGCTGAGCTCCCCCAGCCAGCTCCCCTTCCAGCCCGGCCTGGCCCTCCCCTTCCAAGCGACCTAACCTGTGAGAGCTCCGTGTGCCGCCGCTGCGAGGTCCTCAGGCATCCATCTACACCCACCGACACACCGACACAGCCTTCAAACTCCCCACCACCACATTCCGCCACACCATCCCCACAGTAACTTAAATCCCTGGTAAAGCCCCGGGCAGCGTATCGCACTCAGTCAACGTGCACGGCGCTCGGGTAGTCTCTCCCCTGGCCAGTTCTCTTACACCTGGTCGACAAAGCGACAGACAGCGAAATCGCCTCCCCGCGGCGGCTAACTGGGTCAATACAGCAATACCGCTTACAAGACCCCATGCTTGCGCCCTGAACGACACACTTGGCCGCGGAGGCGCGACCGAACGGACCCTCTACCGCAGGCCATGCACCAACCAACCAACCTACGGCTCTCCCTACCCATCTTCTGTCTCAGATGCAGATGCATTTTGTCAGTCATTCCCCCTAACCTTCCAGCGTGCGCCTCTCCCACCTCACCTCGGCGCTTCGCCGCAACCGTTGTCAGGTAACGTGCGTTACGGCGGTTGGCTAGTTGCAACTGTTCGGTTCAGCCTTTGGGAGCCCTTACGGCGTGACATCTCGTCCATGTCCCATGCGACACAGCCACCTTCCGTGGCCTTCCCCCTCTTGCCGCCCGCGCCAGGCTTTCGGAACACGACACTTGATGGGCCGCCCGAACTCTCATCCATCGCCCCACGCTATGCTATCCGCCCGCCTACGCAGCCCCGCCCGCCATTTCACCTCTTGGATACCTCACATGACCGCACCTCCCTCGCCGTCTCTCCCCAGTAGTTGGTCCAACGTCTTGGTCTCATCGAGCTGCGGCAATAAGTCCAAGCCGCCCACGACACCATGCACGCCAGTACCTGGCGAGGCGCCGCGAGACGCCCCAGCCAGCGGACTTGCCAAGCGGCTGCTGTTGGACACGGACCGACGGTTCGACGTGACCGGCGGCAGGCCGCCGGAGGCGGCCGCCGCGGCAGCGGCTTCCGCCGCCGCCACCGCCGCCGCGGCCGCGACGGCAGCCGAGCTACCCTCCGATGCCGGCGGCTGCGGCTCCCCCGGCACCACCTTGGCGCTGACCGTCATGGTCAACACATTGAGTTCGCTCTTAACCACCACCTCACCCACGAAATCTCCCGGATTCTCCGCCACGAACTCCACGGTTAACAGAGCTTCCATGCCCGCCGCCAGAGGCCCGGGCTTGTAAATGACGCGCAGCGGAAGCTGCGGCCGGACAACGGTGAACCTCGCGGCGCCGGTCGACACATTCGTCAGCCTCGCGGTTCTGTGAGCCACAGCGCCCACAGGCACCGTCCCCAAATGAAGATGCCCCGGCTTGAGCGTGAACTGCTGCAGCGCCTTGCCGGAGTGGCGAATGAGGGACGCGGAGGTGGTCTTACCTAGCCGCACTGCATCCGCCTCTGCACGTAGGTAGGGCTCGTTAAGTGCAGCCTCCGCTTCGTCCTTAAGGTGATGCCGCGGCAACGGCGGCGGCAACGTCCGCGGTTGGCCGTACACATCGAACACGTGCGTCTTGACCGACGGTGGTGCTTGCGTTGCTGCCGCCAGGATCTGGCTGTGGCCCAAATCGGGGTAGGTGTAGTCGACCGTACGGTGCAATGATGCATCGCGGCCGCCGCCGCCGCCGCCGCCGTAGGCGGCGGTGGTAGCGGCGGTGGCGGCGTTGCTGTGTGCCATGGACACAGCGCCCGCGCCGCCAAAGGCAGCGTGCTCGGCGGCAGCAGCAGCTGCCGCCACCGCCGCGGCGGAGGCCGCGGCATCTGCGGCTGCCGGCGTGGGTCGCTCAGCGACGTACACGCCTTGAGCGTAAGGCGATGGCGCGCCCGGTGTGGCCGCCGGCGGCGGCAGGCGCGGCGGAAGCATGCGACGGTTAATTGGCTCCCGGATAACAGGGTCGTTCTCCAATGCCAGCAGTCCCTCCTCCGCCTCAAAGTAGTTAAGAGGCTGTTGCCAGTTGCAAACGCACCGACGACCCCGAGCAAGCAGCATAACAAGCAAAATCAACCATAAACAGAAGGATGCGAGGTAGATAAAAGAAATGCGGGTTAGCTAAACAGAAATGTACCGAGCCCCAACGTGCCGGGTGCGGATAGGACCGAAAAGAAGGGAGGTAATGGACGAATGCAAGCTGATAACAGCAAGGTTTGGATTTGAACTTGGATTTGAATTTGGGTTTGGGTTTGGGTTTGAAAAACTGGGTTTGAAAAACCCGCAGCCGCACGCCCGTGCTGGCGCTCGCAACCACTTCCCCCCCACCCCACCTTGCCCTCCGTTGGCCGCTTTGGCGTGTTGTCGAACGGTCCGACTTTGACCGGCCACGGCCGCTTCTCCTTTTCGCTGTTAATAGCGACCGCCATCTCCCGCTCCCGCGCCGCCTGCTCACGTGCCGCTGCCGCTGCCTCGGACGTCTCCCGCCGCCGCCGCATCTCCGCCGCTACCGACTTGGCCTTCGTGGCGGGCGGCCGCGAACGCAGCTCCAGTATGGCGGACAGCACGTCGGCGTCCTGCCGCCTGACGTCTTCAGGCCGCGTGTCGGAAAGCGGCACCGCAGCCGCGTAGATGCGCTCCTGAGTCTGAGGGGGTGTGAAGTTGTGGATGATGCAAGATGGTGAAATCGAGGGGCGTTGGGACGTAGGCCATAAGTAAAGCCATAAGAACGGGCTGGACGGGCAAGGTACTTCTCCCCTTCCTACATCAACTTAGGAAAAGGATGGGCCATACCCACGCACGGGGGTTGCCCGTGGGGAGGTAAACAACTCCAGAAGGAGAGGGAGGGAGAGAAAGGCGAATGAAAGAACATCCCGAAAAACCGCTCAGAGTAATATGACGCTCAACGAGATGACGTGCACAGAGTAGAGCAAGAAGAAGAAGGACAGATACGGCGGGAAGCTAGGGCGGTTGAGCGCGGTGGAAAGACGCGCCTCCTAGGACAAAAACGCCGTGTCAAAGCTTCAAGTGTTTTCGGGACAAATTTACAAAGCTGTGTTACGATTTACGAAAGCTAGGAGCTTGGAAGGCCCCAACATAAACCAAAACTCCCCCCCTATCGTCAACCATCACCGGCGGCGAGAAGCGGTGCGCACAACACACTTACCAGCTCGGTGCGAGCCTGCTGCGCCAGCACTTCCCGGATGCTAGAAATGGTTTCGGAGCCAAGTTGCGGCAGCTCCAGCAGCTCTCGGTACACCAGGATGGGCAGTGGCGGGGGCTGCCGTACAGAGGGCGGCTCGTACGCCAATATGCGGGGCAGGTACTGCACGCTGCTCAGCCCAGCACCTGCGCAGGTGGTTGGGTGCGTTGAAATGGAAACGGAAAACAGTTAGGGAGGGAGCTGGTTGCAAGAATGAAACCAGATGGAGTGGCGCAAGAAGACAAGAAACCAGGAATAACAGAGCCACACTCGTCAACGACAGCTGCTCTCGGATACAGCCCCCTCTGTATCCGCCGCAGCAGTTCCAACAATCCGGTGCGGGGGCACCATCTCGCACCTGGCGGCGGCTTCAGCAGCTGCGACAACCGCTTGAAGGCAGGCATCAGCTCCTCCGCATGGGGATTGTACCGCTGCAGCAGCGCCGCACCGCCCACTGGCAGCGGATCAAGACCCGTGGGTCGTTGCGCCACCTGCACCAGCACCGAGTGGACCACCGTGCCCTCCTCATCCGCACCCTCGAGCTCCTCAGAACGGATATCCACGGCCAGGTCGGCTGATAGCCCCGGAAGCACCGGTGACGGTGCCGAAGGCGACGCCGAGCCGGGCCGGGCCAGGACGGCGGCGGCGGCCTCCTCCGCCAGCACGCGGCGGCCGGCAAGGTACGACTGTACGACCTCCGTATCGAGGATTTCGAAGCCGGTGCCATCGCTGCGGAGGACAAAGATGCGCGGCTTGATGGAGGTAGCGACGGGCTGGTACGTGATAATCGGCTCGGGCGTTGGTGGCGTTGGCGGTCGTGGTGGTACCAGTGGTCTGTCTTCGTCATCATCGTCGTCATCGGCAAACTGGACAGGGCTTTTGGATGGCGTAGCGCGGTTGGGCCCGCTGGTGCCGTCGGCGCCGGTGCTGCGGCGTCCTGCAGCCAGGCGTTATGCGCGAGGTACGGGAGGGAAAGGAAAGGGACGGGTGACGAGCAGCACATGGAGAGCAGGACGATATGCCGGAAACTCAACTCTACCAAAAGAAACCACCACGCATAATAATGTACAGACGGACCAATAATGGTGGACATCATGCAGGGCAGGAGGCACGCTAGCACGGAGGTCCTGGCTTTGCCAAGAACTCAATGGACCAGCGCCGGGAGCTGCTGTGTACCAACCACCTCACCCGCCGCTGCAGCTCTCGCCCCACACCCTTCCGCCCCGCCATTCTGCAGCCCCCGTCAAAACTCATTATGGAGTAACACACACAGTAACACACAATAACACACAGTAACGCAAACAACCCATTCATTCACCCGCACCCAAGCATGCACGTAAGTCCAGGTCCCGTCTACGGCAAAACGTACCTAGAGTGTTATCGCTGTATTCCCCTCGGAGGGTGCTGGAGGAGGACTCCTCTTTTTCGGGGGCCGGTGGCGGGGCCGGTGCGGGAGGCATCTCCGGAATATGCACCTTGAGCAGCGGCTCCGGAGGCGGCCAGTATGACCTAGGGAGCTGCACCGCCGCCCCGCCGCCTACTGCCGCTGCTGCCGCCGCCGCCGTGGAAATGTCAAAGGCACTGGCCTGCTGTGATGGGGGGCCGGCGGCGGCGTCGCCGGCGGCGGCGGCGGCGGCGGCGGAAGACGCCGCCGCCACCGCGGCGCGTGCAGCCGGGCCCAGCAAAAGGAAGCGGAGTGTCGGTGATTCGAAGTACGCACAGGACCCCCTCTGCGGGTGTGTGAGGGGCAAGGGACGGGGGACAGGAAGGAGGCCGCGGCATGCACGTACGCGTGTCGATGTCGGTGTTGTCCTGGGAAACGCAAAACCGCAGCTGCCTGACTGGATGGCTAGCTGAGGCTAGCAAACAGACAGACCGACAGCTAAAAAACCTTAAGCGAACACACGCATACACAGACAGACAGACAGACAGACAGATGGCTCCTGGGCTTTCGTATGAGGGAATGTGCACCACCCCCTCGCCGTGCTCTTTACCCCCCCATCTCATCTCCCTGACCAGTTCAATCCACGTTCAGAGCTACAGCCGCAGAGCTATAGCCATCATCCGTCCCCAAACCCACATACACCCCCTCGACTTCCCCCTCAGCAATTCCCATCCCTTACGACTGCCCGCTCATTCCCACTGACCCGTGGGTCGAAGAGGAATACGTTTTGCATGTCTGGACTGGAGGCCAGCCGATCCAGCAGTTTCACCGTCTCCAGGGCTTCCTTCTCGGTGGCAGTCAGCCGCATCGCTTTCCCACCACCTTCCTCCTCTCCCTCCTCTGCCTCCTCCTCCTCCGCTGCCTCGTCCTCCTCCGGTGCTGCAGACAGCATCTCCAGCGGCGGCACCAGCACCCCCGGCGGCGCGAAAGCGGCGATGTACGGCGCCGCCGTGACGGCGCCGCCGTCAGGCAGGGTGGTGGTGATGACGCCGGTGGTGGCGTCCCAGGCGAGGGTGACGCCGGGGCAAGGGGAGGTGGTGATGCCCGCTGGGGAGCCGATGATGGGTGCAAAGCCCTCCATCTCTATGGACCAGCTGCCGTCCGCCAGGCGGGACAACCTCGTGCCGTCGTAGTCCTGAGAGGTCATAAAATTGGCAGGAAACCGGCTCGGTATCACGTTAAAAATATCACGGGGATGGATCCAGGTGGCCCTGCCCCTCAAGATTCAAAATCCAGAATCTAGCAACCCTGATCCGAACCCACCTGCACCAAGACGTCCCCTGTGGGGTAGGCCACCACCAGGACGTTGTCCTGCGGGGGACGGAGGAGGCAGAATGTACATTTGTCGATTTGTATGTAAATGTGTGTATGTATTATATATGCATGTATATATATCGCATGTATGTATGTATGTATATATATATATACATCTGTGTGCGTGTACAGAGACAATGTCGCATGGCGGACATAGTAGTAAAGGTACTGGTGTCACGCGGTGACCTGCCGGCCCGAATGCCCCGTCTCTCTCCCCTAAAGACCAACCGCGGTTGTTAAGGGACCGGGACCGGGACGACCCCGCCGCTAAGATCTCTCGGGCAGGACCACCCCCACACTGTCCTGCTCGTAACGCCGTTAATGCCGTTAATGCCATTAACAATACATGCATTTGAGTGCTGACTACACTGTACATCAATAGCGGGCATGAGCTGCTCCCGCGCGCATCAGAAATATGCACTAGTGCGGGGAACGCCAGTCCTGCCTGGCGAGTGGTGACCCGGGCGCCCGTGTCCGGGTCCGTCATAGTCGCAGCGCCGATGCGTGGCAGCTCTAACGTGAACGGCGGCGGCGGCGGTGTCGGCGGCGGCGGTGGCGGTGTCGGCGGCGGCGTCTCCTCCTCCGCGCCCTTCTTCTTGCCTCCTTTCTTCGCGCTTCCTGCACCGCCGCCTGCGGACTTCTTCCTGGCGGGCTTCTTCGTCTCCGGTTCTGGCTCCGGCTCTTCTACTGGGGGGGGCGGCGGCGGCGGCGGCCTCGGCTTCGAGCCTGCGTCAGGCTCCCGCCAGCGGCTACCGTCTAGGCGCGTGCGCGCCCAGCCCCGCGCCGTCGAGCCATCCGGAGCCAGCCATTCGTCCACGTCAATGCGTTCGCTGACGCTGCCGTCAGGGCAGATCACGCGCTCCACAGCGCCGCCGGCGGCGGACACCAGCAGCCCGTCGCGCGTGACGGCGCGGAAGGCGCTGGGCATTAGGGACGTGCGTAGCGCCCCCAGATCCGCACCTGCCAGCGGCGCGCCGTGCACCGCGACGCCGCGGAAGGGCAGCAGCGGTGCGACGGCGGGGTCGTCCGCCGGCGTGATGAGCACCTGTCCGTCCGTCGTCATCCGTACGACATGCCCCGACGGCGTTGTGACCTGGACTGCCGACACAGGCAGATCTCGACGGTCCGACGCCAGGCCCCGCCCCAGTCCGCCCATGGCGTCCTCGTCCGCGTCCTCCTCATCGTCACTCATATCCAGTTCTCCACGCAGACCCGCCTTGAGTGCCTCGGCGGCGCTCATGGTGGGTTTTGGCAATGGCGGCGACGACGCCGACGAATTTGCAGACAGCGCTGGCGGCGCAGTGCCGCCCGCCGCTGCGTCATCGCCATTGCCGGCAGCTGCGGCTGCGGCAGCGGCCGCTGCCGCCGCTGCCTCCGCCGCCGCAGTCTTCGGATCGGTCAGGTGGTACGCCGTCACCAGCGCGCCACCCTGGACTGCTGCCAGCAGCAGCGGCCCGTCACCGTCAGCGGCGCAGCTGCAGGCGCTGCCGTCACGGAAACGGACAGTCGTCGAGCCTCGCGTAACTGTGAGGCCGCCCACGGGTAGCGGACCGCTGCCGTTCGCGGCATCGCGCATGGCCGCCTCCGCCGCCGCCGTCGCCGCCGTCGCGACGCCGGGCGGTACGGAGCTGGCCTCGGCGCGCAGTACCGCCGGCATCGGCGCCGCCACCACACAAGACGTGCTGGTGTAGAGAAAAGCCGTCCGCCGATGAGCTTCTACGGCCGCAGCCAGTTGCACATCCATCTTATAAACCTGTAAACCCCGCGAGTTGCAATCCATTAGATGCTCATTAAAACCTCCAATAAGGAAATCGGACAAAGGAAAAAGATTGGAATGGAAAATGCAACAATGATTTGTTAGACTGCGACGGATTCTCGGGCTGTGATGTCCCTGTGATGATAATGTTCCCCCCTCCTTTCTGCATAAGGGATACTGCCCCACGAGAGTGAGGAGTTGGGGTTGGGGTTGGCATGTGCGTGTATGTATGTATGTATGTATGTATGTATGTATGTATGTATGTATGTATGTATGTATGTATGTATGTATGTATGTATGTATGTATGTATGTATGTATGTATGCATGTATGTATGTATGCATGTATGTATGGATGCATGTGGAGCAACAGGGGGCGTAGAGTACGGTGGATACTGACGGCAGAAGGGCAGGGCCGGCAAAGCGCCTGCTACATCAGCGATGGCGAGTCCATGACGACGAGTCCCCCCAGTCATAGCCTCCCCGTCTTCACACCTTTGGCGGCAGGTCAACAGGCCCCGGCTCCGCCTCGACAGCGCGCCGGACGTAGGCGGACAGGTTCATGGCCACCGGCAGACCTGTGTGTAGGCAGCAGTCAGTGCAGTGCAGTGCAGTGCAGTGGGACACAGAAGTATCGGGGCACGGCAGGAGCACAGGGCAGCGGGGGAATGGGAGGGCACACGAATAAGGAAGAGTGATAAAACTGACCTCTCAATAAGCGCCGGTCGGAAAATGGGGTGGGGGGGTGGGGGGAAACAGTATACGAAACCCGCATTGCGTTACTATGAAAAAAACACAAAAAGGTTAATGTAGAAGCCACAGCAGCAGCCGTCCGCCGCCGCCGTCGTCGCCGTCGTCGTCGCCGGCCCAGCAGCAGCCTCAGCCGCCGCCGTCGCTCCCACAGCGCGCCCCTAACGCCCTCTAATCCTATACGCGTTCTCTTCCTTACATACCCGTAGTAACGCTGGCCAGGTTATCCGCCGCGTAGCACGCCACCACTACCTCGTCCGCAGGCCCGTAGTACACGGACGACATGGCCGGCAGCTGTGTGACCGCCTCGTTGAGCGCCTGCTTGAGCGTTGGCGGGTCCATCGGCTCGTGCCAGTGACGCGTCAGGATGGCGTCCTCGTGCGCCATCTTGGCGGAGGGGGGCAGGAGGTCCGCGGCCGCCTGGCAGCGCGGGCGGACAGAGGCACGTGCGTGTGTTCAAGATGGACGATGAGAACTGAGAGCCACGCAAAGCGTACAGAGAGGGCGCTGAAGAAGGAGAAGGAAAGGTCACTTGCACCACGTGATCAAATCAGGTAAGTAAACCAGGAATGGAGTGAGGGTAGGTAATAGCTTTTAAAATAGCTGAACTCCTTCAAAAAATGGCTGTGTGTGTGCGTATGTGTGCATGCGTGCATGTGTGTATGTGTGGCTTATGTGTGGTGTGTGAGTTGGGCGGTGTCGTGCAGCACCTCGTGGGGGTGTGTGGTGGGCGTGGTGTGAGAGCGGAACTGCCGCGGTATGGCCGATGGTAGCAGTAGTAGTAGTAGTAGTAGTAGTAGTAGTAGCTGTAGGTATTACAGCGAGCCCCAGACCCCAAGGTAATACATACCCCATGGTGCAGCCTGGCGTGGTGGGGATCCTGCCCGAGCCTAAACGTCTTAAGTAACCTTACTCGCCCCGGCCCGCGTACCCCCCCTTCCCAGCCGTGTCTTAACGTCCCAGGCACGTTGCCGCATCCCTGGACTTCAACTTTTAATTCGACAGTTAAGGAACTCCAGCTTTTAGGTTAAGGAACCCAGCTCTCTCCGCCCCGGCCGGCTTACCTGCAGCATCTGGTATCGCTCGATGGCAGCTATTGGCAAGCCTGCGGCCTCAGCCTGGGGGTACGTCGGCAAGGTCGAGGGCAGGAGCACCAGGAGGGACGAGCGCGAGGGGTAAGGGCGGGATACAGCAGCAATGGATCATGGACGTTTTAAAGGCGTGCGCAGCAATAGCTCTCTATATACAGACATACATATCTATACATAAGTATGTAATATATACCGAGAGCTTAGACGCCACAAGCTAGGCATGTATAAATAGATAGATAGATAGATGTACAGATGGATGGATGGACGGATAACGGCAGACTCCTACATGCGCAGTCCCTCCAACGATCCCCACCTGAAGGGCTGTACGGCGCAGGCTCTTGCTCAGCGCATCCAGCCCCTTGCCCATGCCGAAAGCGCCGCTGGCCTCCAGCGCTGCGTCGCCCGCTAACCTTGCCGCATCCGCAAAGGACCTGGCGCCAGGCAGCATCATCACATGCAGCATATGCGCTTCCACCGCCTCTACATCCAGAGTGCCCGCGTGCGTGAAGAGCCCCTCCGGACCCTTGCCGTACTTGTACGGCAAGGGCTGAATGTCTGCTTCCGTCAGCGGCGGCCAGACGCCTGCGCCACCAAACATACCGATGCTGCCGTCACCCGACGACGGTACATGGCCACTGCCAACGACGGCCATGTCGAACGGCGACGTCGGCGAGTCGGGGCGCGGCGGCGTTGAGTGCACAAAACCAGTCGTGAGGCCGGCGGCGGCGGTGGCGAGCGGGTCGCCCTCGACGACGAGCGAGTAGTCAGCGGGCGGCTCGGGTTGCGGCGCGAAGACCGCAGCCTGGCGGTCCGAACCCAGTGCCGCCAGCGCGCCCTCAAGCGCCGCCAGTGCCGCTGTCTCCGCCGCCGCCACGTTGCTCGCCTCCGTCAGGTCCTCCCCGGCATCCAGTGACGCCATATTCCGTGCGACCTGCTCTAGCAGCGCGTGCATTACCAGCGGCACGCTAATGCGCTCAGGGACCACGCTATCCAGCAGCGCACCGTAGTAACCAAGGCTCAGCGGCGGCTGCTTCGGGGGCGATTCTGGCGGCGCAGCGCCGTCGCCGTCGCCAACTGCTGCTGGGGCTGGCGCAGCAGCTGCCGCTGCCTGTGCCGCCGTCGGAGGCGTCGGGGTCCCGGTGCGAGGTCCCCCTGGTGCAGGTGCTCCAGCCGACGGCGCGGGTGTGCCTAACGCCACCCCGGACGCCGGTACGGCGCCGACGGCCGCCGGGGCAGGCTCCGGTACCGCCGGGTCCACCGACGCGTCGGCTGCTTTCGGTTCCTCCAATTGCTTACAGTCGTACACCTTAACAGAGGCGCGCCATTCCTCGTAGGCGCGCACATGCGACGCCAGGCGGTGTAGCGATGACGCCAGTATGTCGTACCCTGGGGAATCCTCTGGGGTGGCCGCTGCCGCCGCTGCCTCCGCCGCGGCGGCGGCTGCCGCTGCCGCCGCCGCTGCCTTGCCCTTCGGACCGCCCTTTGGCGCAGGAGCGGCCGCTCCTTTCTTGCCCTTCTTGGGCTCTACCTCTTGGTCACCTGTGCGGTGTTTCCATGAAGGAATGCGAACAGCTCATTGGTCGTACCAACGAAAAAAACTGTTCTGCCCTCTGTCCTAAACTCGCCCTGGCGTACTGTAACACTCAGGGGCCTTCCCTCCCTAGAGCCCACCCGGCGCCGCATACTTCTTTTTAGGAACGCGTCCCTAGTCCCCAGATTTACCCCGGCCCCCCTCCTCTTCGCTCCATCCCCCGTACTTGGCGGCGGCGGTGGCTCGTAACGGGGCACCTCCACCTCCAACGGCGCCAGGCGCGCGAACAGATCCTCCCACAGCGCAGCCTCCGCCGCGGCTTTCACTTCCGAGTACCACGACGGCGGCGGCGGCGGCGGCGGCGGCGGCGGCTCCTCGCCGGCCTCCTCCGGCTGCTGCTGCGGCGGCGGCGGCGCCGGCTTGGTCCACACTACGGCACGCAACGGCGCACCCGCCACCAGCGCCTGACGGATGGTGTCTATACTTAGGCTGAGGCCTCCGAGCGTGTATGTCTGGTAGCAGACGAACGGGCCGGCCTGTACGGCCTGCACCCGGGCGACGGCTTCCGCTGCGGACCGCATACAAGCACACGGACCAAAGGGACAGCAGGGACACGAACGAGCCTTAAGATTACCAGCACCGCCCGCACCCAAATCCACTGCCCATCGCCCAGGAAAGATCCGAAAAAGGGTGAGGGATGAGAGAGGGTGAAGGGGTGAACGCGTGCGCGCGACATGGGTTTTGTGGGAAAGCAGGAATTCGCAGTGGACAGTGAGGGCGCCCAGGTGCAGAAGAGCGAGCTGCACCTGTTTGCAAGGGAGGCGCCCTGTGGGACGGGATTGTAATAGGGGAATGCGGGAGGGCCCGAGCTTGGCTTCACCCCGCTTGGTGGATTTGTTGCGTCAAACATATCACGACTTCAGAAAAGCACACCGATCGGCGGATGTCAGGATCCGCCAGAATGATACGCCCTACAGGATACAAGAGACTGTTCCGGTTTACGGGCAACGTCGCGTGTTTGTCTGTTTCCGGAAGCCTTCCTCCTCTCTCCCAGCAGAAGTCACCGCACCACGCACCACGTACCTGTCATCCTGACCTTCGTCTCCGCCGCCTCCAGCTTCGTGCGAGCCTGAGCCAGCGCCAGCTCCTCCTACGGCAGCCGCAGCGCCAGGAACGGTGTTTGAATCCGGACAGCAGTACTACTTCAGGGGTGATCTGTTCGAATCCTCTGTAATACATCGTTCCTTCATCCTGAGCCCACTTCCATCCGGACCCACACGCCCACCAGCACCAGCACCCACAAACCCACAACTACACACACCTGGGAGGCCTCCCGTGACGGCGGAGGCGGCGCCTCCGTCGGATCATCCATCATCTGCCCACCCGCCATCCCGCCGCCCTCCTCCGCCTCTTCCGCCGCCAGCGCAGCCCTTCGCGCCGCCTCTTCCGCGGCCGCCCGCTGCGCCGCCTCCAACGCTTGTGCGGCCGCAGACACGCTGTCGTTCGCAGCTGTCAGCGCAGCTTCGGCAGCCTGACGGGAAAGAGACGCACATCACATCACATCACACCACATCTCTTCGCGGTGCCATTGCTCATAGGTCGGTTTGCTAGCGTTGTACGGCCTGCTTTAGAGCGTACAGGCTAGCACGATCGGCCTGAAGCAGGGCCCATGTTGTACGACCCCGGCGCATAATGCTGAATGACATCGCGGGGTCTGAGCAAAGATGCCCCGCCGGTGCGGCGTCCACGCACACCGGTAAGCACTGCGGGCGAAAGCGTGTAGGGTGCGCATTGGGCAGAGGATCGTTTTCGCAAGATATGCATCCCCAAGGACCGTCCGCAGGCCCTACTAGCCGCCATTCGTTTTTAACATCTCCTGAGGCCGTCTCCATCGCAGGCCCCAGTCCTGCGCTACCGTTGCGACAGTTCACCTACAGCCTCCCACCTGTGCCTCCTCTTGCGCCGCTTGAAGTTGCATGCGGCGGCGGTGCAGCTCCACACGCCAATCTGCTAACTGGTCACGTGCAAACCGCTCAGCCATCAGCGTGGCGCATATCTCGGGACCAAAGCTGGGGGGAGGAAGGGAGCGGGGCAGGGTGGGGGGGGGGGAAGAGGCAGAGATTAGCGTCGAAAATCCGGAGGAACACATCCGTTGGTGCTGTGCTGCCGTCGACAGCACGGTAAATGGATTTAAAAGTAATGAGCTGCACCAGGGGATTGATTGACTTGGGGATTTCGGACCGCGAGGCGTAGGATGAGGGGCTGAGTGAGCGAGGCATGGGGCTTCCGCTGGGTTGAGGGCCGTGGGCTAATCATCGGGGATGCGGTGGTGAACTGTGGGTCTCGCTCCAGTACATAAGGTAACGATGGTGTGCCCAGCTGATTAGGTGTTTCTAACACAACGCGAATGGGATGGCAGGTGGAAAAGACTGCCCGTACTCCACGGCTATTGGTAACCCAAGGGGGTGCGTGTTGGGGCCCCGTGCCATACGCATACGTTGAGCTGCTGTTTACCGCAGCGCCACCAGCATGCTGGGTTCCCCGAGGCTCTTGATGTCAGTGTGTGCTGGGGCTTTTTTGTGCTCTGACGGATGACCTGGAGAAAACGCTTTCCAGGCTTCGTTGCTTGGGGCTGTGTGCGGGGGGCCGCGCAATGGACTTACGTGCAGGTATCCGGCCCGTGCCCTGCCGCTATATGTGCGTCCATAATGGCTTTTGCCTCCTGGCCCAGGGATGTTGAAGGGTCCAGGCGCAGAACTGCATCTGGTATTGAGATGTGACGCGTGAGCTCCTTCCGCTTCAGCGTCTGGTGAAGGCCCTTCGCATCTGTCCCTGCCGCGTACTCGACAATACTGACGACTGGCTTCCATGTTACCGGAAATGGGCATTCCGTGAGCTCCTTGTATTCTTGAGGAAGCTGCGGGATATAAATGACCAGGGTATGCGGTGTAAGGAGAGGTAGTTCTACCGCTTGCCATGTTTGGACGAGCCGCTCCCGGCAGCCAATTGCCCTTTGCCCCCATGGCAAGAATATGGGTCATATGCAGTAAGGAGTAAGCGTAGCATGCGCAGGCCCCGCGGTCTCTAAGGTCTGTTGGACAGAACATGCTAGCAGACGTCCTACCGCTTCATCTGGGCTGGGGTCAGGCGGAGGCGGAGGTGGCGCCTCTGGCTTTTTAGATTTTGGAGGCATTTTGCCTCAACGCAATGTCGTCAACGAGATGCAGGTTCCATGCTACAAAAACAAAGTGCTATGCTATCGTTATCATTCCAAGCAAAAATTTCAGGTTGTTATGCGTACGCATGAAGTGGAGTGACTGAGCTTGCGCAGCAGAATGGCCAGGACAAGTACTGCTGTACGGAGAAAAAATGGAGTCTGTGCCAAGGCGTCGCTTCTGCATTACACCTTAGAGCGCTTATTTCGTGCCGCCATGCTATAACTCTGCTGCTTCGTGCAGCCTGTAGGAGTCATAACGTAGTAAAGGGCGGTTGCCGCAGCCCGCGAGGCATTAGTTTTTGAGCGGCAGAAGACGAAATGCTGCCCATCCTTGCAAGGAACGCGACAGGCTCTTCCTTGGCGCGCTTGGCAGGTGGGCGCATACGCTCTCTGTCTTGTTTCAGCTTTTTAAGAACCCTGGGATCAGCCTTCTATAAGCTCACTTCATGCAGCAGTAAGCTTTCAAGGATTCATATGAAAGGGTAATGATTTCCTTGCTATCAGGTTTGCGCTGGGCTGCCGCTGCCTCGGCGAATCAGGAATACAGTAGCCTCTTGACTGTTGAAAAGCATGGACCTGGCGGAAGGTCATCGGTAAGGTTTATGGAAGCCAGGCAGCGTGCCGCACCATCAGGTTGAAGGCATTATGGTTTGGGACGCAGGTCAGCGGCGTTGTTGCAACTGTCTTCGGCAGCAACGGCTTTGTGGGCTCCTATATTGTGAATGAGCTGGCGAAGTGCGGTTCTCAGGTCGTCTGCCCGTTCCGGAGCACGGAGAATGAGGCCATGCACCTTAAGCAAATGGGCGACCTTGGGCAGGTGGGATTGCGTAAGGGTCGCCTATTCCCCTTGCCGACTGATATCATTCTACTGTGGACCTCCGCTTAGCTGCATCACGCTTCAAACCCCCCATACCCTTGCTGCACGCAGGTTGTGCTGCTGCCAGAGCTTGACATCCGGAACGATGAACACATCAAACGGGCGATCAGCAGGTCCAACGTCGTCATCAACTGCGTTGGCATGCGGCTTCAGACTATGAACTGGAGCTTCGAGGACGTGCATGTGGACTTCCCTAAGCGGCTTGCGAAGTGGGTTCCTTCCATAGACAATAGTTCATGGGACTGATTGGCTTGGATGGCGGCTGCACGTACCCGTTCGGAGGGGGGGAATACAGAAACGGACATCCTCGTGCCATCCCATATGGTTTTGGGTGCCAGCTTATGCCCTCGACTTGTGGGCTAAGCACTTTAAGGGTTGCTACCATGTTGCACCTGTGGGGCCTAGCCCTGTTTTTACATGTATATACAAACACAACCCGGGGTCACAGCTGTTGTACTGTTGCCCACGATATTCCTCCCATTTGGGTCTTCTTACGGCGACCTTCCTGTTGCCACCTTACGGCGGTACCTGGCGCCGATTGATAACCCCTCCCCTCCCGGACTTGCCGCCGAAACAGGATTGCCGCGGAGTCCGGGCACGTGGACCGCCTTATCCACTTCAGCGACATGGGCGCGGATGTGAATCACAAGTCAAAGCGCATGCGCACGAAAGCGTTGGGCGATGAGGCTTTGCTTGAGGCATTCCCCTCCGCCACAATCATGAGGTTGGTTGAGCATTACGTGGTGAAACGGTCCAACCGGCCTTTAGTTGGGAAATGCGGTCGGATGGGGTCTGTCTGCCTGCAGTGTCTACGGGTGTGTATGTGTGTGTGTGAACGGCACGCGAGTTCGACACAGAACGGCGAGCTGCCTGTCGCATGTTTGCCGAGATCCATACTGGTAAGGCGGCCTGACATTATGGGACATGTAGCCTCAGCCGACTGGCTGCACGCGCCGCAGCCCTGCATGCCTCACATCTAAGCACTTCCCCGGGGAGATGTCCTTCAGCTGAGCAAGTTGAGGAGAGAGCGCCTGGATACCAGTTAACAATTGCAGCAGCCGGATGCTAAGCTGCTGATCCGATGACATCTGACCCTTACTATAAGAGTTCGGCAAGATCCAATTGCATTCTTACAGTCATATGGTTGATGCCGGATCTGTTTTATATTCTCGGAGACGAGAACACACGTCGCGTAAGACTTCGCACTGCATGGCAGGTCCTTCGGAGACAACGGCATCTGCTTATGTCTAGGATTTCGCTCTTCTGGATAATCTCTTGCCAAGAGTACATATGTGTGTCGGGGGGGCCCCCGACCCATATGCTGGCGTCGCTTTCCTTCGGATCTGCAACACGCTGTGCGGTCGCACCTTGACGGCCTGCTTTCTCCAGCTCATCCATCATCAGCCAGTGCCAGTTTAGTTCATCCACGTCCCGCTTTACTCTGTGGCTGCAGACAGCTTGGGTTGCATCATCCCTTGGGTTCCCTTGGGTTGCGTCAACAAGTCCTCATCGCGTGTCTTCATCCCCAATGACAGATGCACAACACACAACGGGTCTCCCCGTCATCACATTGTACCACGCATCGCAGGCCCGGCGACATCGTGGGCATTGAGGACCACTTTTACAACTACCTGATCTACCAGCTGACGCTCACGGTATTTGCGCCTGTGGTGGAGACGGGTTCCAACAAGTTGCAACCCACCTACGTGTTGGACGTGGCGGACGCAGTGACCTCAGCGCTGCGGAAGCCGGAGAGCAAGGGCCAGACTTACTACCTCGGCGGGCCGGAGGTGCTCACGTAGGTTCATATTGTAGATATCGTAGATGAATGCCTAAAGGCGTCTTTATTAACAGCGGAGCCACTCAGAACTCGGAATGGGAGAACAGCACCTCCGTGATGGGGGAGCAGGATTATCTGAAAGCAAGGAGAGAAGAGTACGAAAACACATGCAACACAACACAAGGGCAGGCCTTTACGACCGCCGCGCGGGCGGGCCGGAACTTTTTTAAAGCTGTAAAGTGTGGCCAAGGGATAATTATCTGTGCGAGCATGGCACTGCTGACATCACAGCGGGAAAAAAGCGGAAACGCAGCTTGGATGAGGGTTTCTTGATCTTTACCGGGTCGCACGCTGCCTGAATGCCGTGGCGCCGGGGTTGTTAGGCCTCTGGCAGGTTTTCAACTCCCATGTCCTTTCCTCAGTTCTTAGCACTTCTTAGCACCTGCCATCCAATTCTATCGAAGCTTACCATTTTCCATGCTGCTCCTCGTGCTTTTGGACTCCTTTCCGTGGCCCCCCTTTCCGTGGCCATCTTTCCTTGGGGTTCTGGGACATTCGCGCGGCCTGCATATTCGCACGTGCAGCGTTCGCGAGGTGTACGACCTGCTGCTGAAGACCCTGCGCATCCACCGGGATGATACCTGGCACCTTCCCGCATGGATCGTCAAGGCCATGTACAAGCCCATGGACTCCGTTCGCCGCAAGGTGAGGAAGAGTTTGCAAGGATTGAGGCTCTGGAGAGTGACTGGGCGATTTATGCACTGTTCGCACGCAGCTGGATAGTAGCGAGCTGTCACGTTCCTATCGCATTGCGCACTTTTCTGTGTGGAATTTTAATGCAAACTGCTCGCGCCGTGCCATGCAGCTGCCGGGGTTGCCGATGACCAGCCCCATGGCGACGGATGACTACGTCGAGGAATGCCTGCGCGACAAGGTGGTGCCGGCAGGCGTCAAGGGCTACGCTGACTTGGACATAGTGCCACAGAAGGTGACGGACGGCCTGCCCATCGAGCCGGTTCGCCATGCACGTGTGGGCGGCTACAGGTGAGGAGGAGATGGGTCGCCGTGACAACATCTTGGGGAGCGATTGGGGGTTTTGTCCTGAGTCCGGTGCCGGTGCTGGTGCTGGTGGTATCTGGGGAGGGAGGGGAGGGGAAGGGGCATGAGCCACGGATGCAGATACGCCACCTCCTGCTGCTTCGTCTTGCTGTGGAATGTCCTGCTGGGCGAGGATTCCATCGATAAACCATTTACCATTTACCATATTCCGCTTTGCGCGTCTCCTACCGGGCGGTAGCATGGGGAAAGCCAAGACATGGCCGGATCTTGGAGCACCTTCGGGAGGGTAGGAAGTCTCAGGGGCTGTTCATTTCCGTGGCTTGGGGCGGTCGCTTGCTTGCTTGTATGCCATGCTGTCGTGCCTCGTAAACTTGCATGCAAGCAGCTCAGTGCGGCAGCACAGTGCGGCGGTTTCGAGTGAGGTTTGACGCTCCTGACGCCGCTTTTTGTTTGCCTTTTGTCTCACAGGTGGGGTGATATGGCCAATGTGGCCAAGGACGTCCCGGAGTCTGTGCGGAAATACTACAACATCAAGCAGTGAAAGGTGTCGATTGCTCGAGCTTCCGTGCATTACATGCTCTTGGCGGCTGTCTGCCCGTGATGGTCGACTGCCGCTCTGCTTTCAGCGCCGCCTGCCGACGTGGGACTCCTGGCGGAAGGCTACTATAACCGGCGCTGGCCACGCACCCTTGCTGGTTGCCTGTTGGCCAGCGGTTTTTGGACGAGGGCCGCTGTACAGGAATTGCATGTCTGGTGTGTTAGTCTGATGCGTGGCATGTAAAGGAAAAAGGCTTATCTGCATTATGTGGTCGGTAGATCTTGCACTTCGCGCGTCTTCCTCTGGGTGCGTATTCCGCGTGTATGGTGACTCCACTGGTGGCTGGGGTGCGGCTTAGCTCTGCGTGTGGTTCTGTTGCCTTCAGGAATGGTAGTTGCTTAGTAGGGGGCTGGAAGTCCTGCGGGGGAGGTTCCTCACCATCGCGCAGTTGACAGAAAGGTAAAGGTGTGTCTACCGGGTTTTCCTTCCCTAGTAACTGGCGTGCATGGTACGATGCAGATGGCATTCCCCATAAATGAAGTGAAAGTTTGACTCGCCAAGCCCACATTTCAAAGTTCCATGTCCCCGCTGTTGTTATGCAAAGTTCAAAACTGCACTGTCCAGGATGGATTTCGGCAGGAGGTTTGTAAACGCGAGAGGATGAAGATCCTGTTGTGGTTAGCGGCCCTCTGCCAGACCTTGTCCGTTTCTGCAAAGAGCCTGACCAGGTGCAAGGTTTGGTTTGGTTGCCACAACCCTGGTTGTTATATGAACTCGCATGGCCGCCACATCAGAAGGTACGAAGAATTTTACAACGCAACTGGTGCTGTGCGCACTCAGAATGCGATTAATACAGTTGAACCCCAACCCAACCCAACAAAAACAGGGAAGGTCCGAGCCACCCTAATGTGTACCGTCATCAATCTGCGCGCCTTCGTCATGGCGCGAGTGATTCCCAAGATCACTACGTCCCCGAGTCGATTAGCGTTCGTCTGAACAGGGGGAAAGGAATAGAACGTGGAGGAGTAGAAAAGGGGGATGGCGCGGGAAGAAGGGAGTTCTGTGGGACTGGCGTACAGTCACACAGAACCAGCATTAGAGACTCCAAACGCTGCAACAATCGCGTGCTCAGCCACGTACGGCATCGTGTCAGCAGGCTGCCTGAGCATTGACTTGAATGCAAACGCACTGCTGCAACGCACAGCGATACTGTGCTTGGACCCTTGCCGATTGAACCACTGCATAATCCTTGTGAGGAGCACCAGAACTTTGCCGCGATAACCTTTGCGTGGTTTACAAACTCGGCATACGAAGAACAGCAAGGCATATCACGAACAATCAAATCATTTTGGGTCGGCTTGAGGCGGGAGTCGTATGGGCACCGAAGTTATAACCGGGTTGAGTTGGTAGGAAACGCTGCCGATGTCTTTCATTTGAATTCATTGCCATCCTTGCCATGCGTCTAAGCGGGAAAACCTCGCAGAATTTGCATGAGAATTGGAGCCTTGGTTTCATCGAACGACCGCATAAACCTTATACTGTTGTGGGTTCGATGCTTTCCATTATATCGTAACCGCACTTGCGTTAGGTAAAAGATGGGGTGAACAACACCATAACCGAAAACATTTGGGCCACGTGAAATGTGATAAGATGGTGATTTAGGCCCCAACAGAAGTTAAACACATAGATTTAAAAACCTGAGTGTTCCTCCTTGTTTCTATCAACGGCTCGGTCTGAATCCTACTTGCATGACCCCTTGCACTGACGGACACCCCCGTGGAAAAGAAATGCCCATCGCGTATGTAAAATCCCAGAAAGGGATAAGGTCTATGTCGCTTATACAACGAGCCCCACTATGAATTAAAGTGAGCGTTCCCGGGCAGTGGGTGCCAAAGGGAGACGGGCACTGGAAGCTTGCTATCCGGCTTTGCATTACAAGGATAAATAAATTGGAGCACATATTCGTAGCCAATTTTTATCTGTCGCCACGATAACCGTGGTCATCCTTTTGCTTCGGAAGGCGCCGATGCCTTGAAGGCCTGGACTCGCGAAGCATGCAGTTACATCGCACATATGCTCCCTTTCAAGAATAAGGATAAGAATAAGTGCAAACGTCCTGAGCTCAAATGATTCTCTGTGAAGTACACCCAAACGGTGCCATAGGCCAAAGCTGCATACCATCAGGTTTCTTACTGTATCCCAGCACGAGACCGCACCAGTTTGTAAAGCAATTGTGATTGCCATGTTTAACCGGGTCCATTGAGAATTCAACGTTCTCCTCATACTTCGACAAACACAACTCTGTTTTCTCGAAGCTATCTGGCGCTAAATATCAAAGTCTTATATTCGTATGCCTCAGGCGTTGCGCAGTCGGCAGCGCTCCTGCGTGGGAGAGTCGGCTCCTCCACGGCGTCTTTCGGCAACGAGCCATAAGCTGCCGAATTTTTTATGCTTCTATCATGTATAAGGCAATAGGTTTAGTATGGCATACGTGACGGCAAGTATCATGCGGGACTCAGTCGTTTCGTCGAGGCCATACACCTATGCTCGTTAGAGCGGGCTCATGGAGGCGTCAGCAAGGAGCTATGCGTGGTAAGCAAGTTGAAAGAATAGCTTTGGTGGCACGGGCTCGCACTATGAGGCCCGGTTATTTGTTACCTGACTGCCATTTATGGGTGACAGGGAAGGGAAACGTATGCCCCACCAGCGTTCCTCGGCTGATGGGCAACCCAGTTCATCTGGACGGCCAGAAGCCAGGCGTTCGGGCTCTGGTGACCTGCAGCTGCGGAGCCTTGCGCGGTTGCCTCGCGCCTCGCAAAATGGCTCCGAGCCACTGGCCTTGCAACAACCAGCGGAGGACGCTCTCTTGCAGTCGGGAGAAGAGCAGGCAGCGCGGCGGACAATTGACCTCAAAGCGCGTCCGCCCAACACAGCACAGCGATCAAACTCCACGAGCACAGGCCGCAGGGTTCGCCGCGGCTCAATTGCTGATTTCTTAGGCTTCAAGTCGGGATCTCCCAGCCAGGAAAGCTCAGCGGCTCCCAGTCGCGACGTAACCTTGCATGGCATGGCAATGCCATCGGCGCCGGGTGCACGCTCCCGGCGGTCGTCTTTCCTCGGCACATTTGGAAATAATACGGCCCAACAGACAGAAGTGGATAACAACGGTGAAAGCGGCGCCGGTGCGGCACCGCTGTCCGATGCCATGTCCGGGCCGGTCGACCTCGCGAAGTCGCTGCCGGCATCCTCGCAGGGACGTTGGCGGCGGGCAAGTATGTTGGATTTATTTCGAAGTATGCACAGTGTTGAGACCAGCGGCGAATGCGGCGAACCGGGGCAGCAAGGGGAGCCGTTGCCACGGACAAAGTCCACACCAAAGCAGCGCCGGGCCTCGGTTATTGACTTTTTTCGTTCAAGTAACACCGGCATGGCGAACGTGGACGATCCTGGGACGCCTGGTAACGCACAGATGGGCCGGCGATTGCCACGTGGGGATAGCCGCGGGCAGCGTCGGCGCAGTGTCATCGATATACTTGGACATTCCTCGAAAAAGGTGCGGGGCATGCGCGGATGGCATGCGCGAATGGGATAGAAGGACACGCGCATAAGTGCGCGCCCCGGGTGCTGCGGTTGCGGATATGGGAACGTCCTGAACATGTGAGCAGGCTCACGGAATTTGCTCCGGCCGCGTGTGCGCGCCCAGTTGGGGGCCTGTGCACGGGACTGCTTGCTTCCAAACAATGCTTCTTGACCTTTGTAGGACGGGGATTCAGGAAAAGGAACGGAAAAAAGATCCGAGTAAATGCTGCACCAATCGTGATCCCAGGATTAAACCTCCCGAGATTCATAAGATTCAAACTCTGACGAGACTTTTGGGCTGCAGCAGCTCTGCGAGTGTTAAATTTAAGCACACAGACAACATGAAAGTAAAAAATTGATTTTCTTATCTGGGCACCTGAGCAAAATCACATGGAAGATGTGTGTGTGTGGTTGTTACAGTGGGCTCCAAGAGTAGAGCCAGCGGGCCTGCACTAGAGACTAATATACAAATTAGACAATCACGCAGATGAGGCAACTAAAAAAATTAAACAGTCAAAACCGCGACCAAAGGGAAGGCTCAGGACCCCCAATTATTATTGAAATAGGCCCGAGCCTCAAAATTGTGCCGGAGCGTTGAGTGCGACCCACATTACGTCAGCGTGGGCGGGACTCCCAGTAAAATTTTTAGTTGCCTGTAGGCCACACCTTCGTGTAATAGATAGATACGGTCCCGAATTTCGGAAATGCGTTGCGGTAAGTCGGGGCCATAGGGCGCCGGCATATCGCCGGCTGAGGGGTGTCGAAGGACAGCTGCCAGCCGTCTCTTCACCAGGCTGATTTGAAGTGAATAATCGGGATCAGATTGAGAACAAAGAATTAACAAAAGGAGGAGAATATAAGTGAGGATGTTCGTGTACCAGTCATTTTCTTCAATCACAGGTCCCAGGTGTGGCGGGAGTCATGATGATAATGATGTCTCGTCCATAAATAGGATCTATATGTCTATATCTACTTGATATCTATTAATACCCTTTATGGACTGTGCCGCTGCTGTTTTGTTGAATTCTTGAAAAAAATGGGCAGGGCGGGGTACGTGTGTCTAGCTGCCGAATGCCTACGGGATGAGCAGCAGCCACGGCTGGGAAAAGCGCAATTCCAGCCGCCAAACGATCGTGCTCCAAAGGAGCTCTGTCCCCAAGAGTCGTGTGCCAAGACATGATGCGTTCTATCTCTTGGCAACTCCCAGGGAGATCTTCACCTGTTTGGGGGCCCAGCTGTCCCCTCTCTCTCTCTCTCTCTCTCTCTCTCTCTCTCTCTCTCTTTCTTTCTCTCTCGCTATTCGCGTTTTCTGTGTTTCTGTGTTTCCTGTTCTTCCTTCCTGTTGTGCTGGGAGGAAGTATGCGGTAGGAAGTGGTCTTCCTTTTTCCTTTCTTTCTTCTTCCTTCCTTTCATCCTTTCGGGGAGTTGGAAATGATTGATACAACCTTCTGAAGGAGAAGGAGGGCCTTCGGTGCGAGGCGGGGGAAGAGGGAGGCTGCGGCTGCGGCTACGGCAGCTTTTCGTGCCGGCGGCGGCGCAGCAAGGGTTGCAGCTGCGCTCTTGGGTTTGTGTTGTGAGCAGCCTTTGGATGGTGATCCAGCACCGGGTGGTGGTTATGCGGCACCAGGCGTTGCAGCAAGGGAAAGGGGAAAGGAGACGTGAAGCCCGGGGCGCCGACTTTGACCAGATTATTACTCCCGTCGATCCTTCCTGTCTTGCATTGCCGCTGACACCATCACCCGCGTCGTCGTCCGCATATTCTTGGCCATTCCCCAACTACCGAACACAATCCCAGACAAATGCCAGACCAACAACAAAACACAACAAAAAACACTCAATCCCCAACAACCTCCCATGGTACAGGTATTCGCTAAGTTGATGCATCACGAATTCGATCATCCTTTGGACGAGGACGACTTGGGTGTGGAGGGCAAGCTGTGGTTCACCTCCCTCAACGATTTCAAGCCGCTCACCTTCCAGTACCTCTCCGGCCGTTACTCGTCAGCTTTCTTCGCGTGCTCCGTCAAGACCGGACAGCACTACATCCTCAAGAAGTTTGATAAGGGTGGGGCCGGAAAGGGGGGGAGAGGAAAGGGAAAGGGAGGGGTAGGGAGAGAGGTAGGGGAGGGAAGGAGAGAGCGAGAGCGCGACGGTCCGCATTCGCACATATGTGTGGACCAAGTGCGGCTGCTTAACTGGAGGCTGATGGTTAGATGGTTAGGTTGCATGTGTGAGGGCATGAGGTCACGTGATGTGCGCTTTGTGTGGACTCTTCCCCCCTTCGTTCTTGAGCCTTGTCCGGATAGGGTCTCACTTTTTCCCTTTACTTCCGCCTCCCGCCTCCCGCGCCATTCAAATCCCCATCACTACCGCCATCTTCATCTTTATCCGCAGGTGGTTAGTTCTTCGCCCCCGCTCCCAAGTCTCGCCTAGTCTTTGCCTTCCGCTGCCATACCGCCGCTGCGCACCACCACTACACCACCAAATTCAAGTAAATTTAACTAAATCATTATTCTGGGTGTTTGTGCTCACCCCAGGCAAGATGAATCTGTCGGATGAGAGAGGTGTCCGACGTGCCCTCCACTTCGCCGAGGTACTGAACCACGAGCACATCGTACAGTGCTGTGGGCTGTGGGAGGACGAGCAGGCGCTGTACATCGTGGAGGAGTATGCCGTGAAGGGGGACTTGCTGCAGGTGGGCCGACCCTCACGATCGCGGGGGATTTTAAGAGGGGATGGCGGCGGCGGTAGAAGGGGGCCCCCAGCGTGTGTTTCAGCGTGTGCGTGTGCGCGTGTCTTTTGTGTGCTTTTGAGGAAATCTGGGCTGGAGTAAATCCTCCTCCCCCTCCGCGTGTGGTTGCATATGATGGTTGATTCCCTCCTCTTTTCTCCCCCTCACCCTCACCCTGCCTCCTCCTGCCTCACCCTCACCCAGCCATTCCTCCCAACTCCTCCCAACCCCTGCCAACCCCTCCCAACCCCTGCCAACCCCTGCCAACCCCTGCCAACCCTGCCAACCCCTGCCAACCCCTGCCAACCCCTGCCAACCCCTCCCAACCCCTGCCAACCCCTCCCAACTCCTCCTCCCACCCGCCCATGTCCCTCAGGACTCCTTATCGCATCCAGAGAAATACTCTGAGGCCTTCATGGCGACCAAGGTGGTCAAGCCCCTGCTGGACGTGCTCGCGTACCTGCACGCGGCAAACGTCGTACATCGTGCCATCTTCCCCGAGTACGTCATGTTTGGACGAGAAGACAAGCTCAAACTGGGCCACTTCACGAGCGCCATAGACCAGCGGATGGACCCGCCAACGGAGCGGATACCCTTCCTGGATTACATGGCACCGGAGATGCTGTCTGTGAGGTCGGAGGATTGCGGCGGCGGAGGGCTGCCGTACGTGGTGGCGGCGGCTGCGGGGCCGGCGGCGGCGGGGACTGGGAGAGGCAAGGTAGGGGACGTGAATGGCACTGACCGGGATGATGGGTGTTGTGGGGATGGGGGTGATGGCGGCTGTTGTGATGTGTTTTGTTTAGTCACGAAGCCGGAAGCGCGCTGAAAACGGGCTGAAAACGGGCTGAAAACGGACTGAAAACGGGCTGAAAACGGACTGAAAACGGACTGAAAACGGGCTGAAAACGGACTGAAAACGGACTGAAAACGGACTGAAAACGGACTGAAAACGGAGCGGGCTGGGAGCGGGCTGGGAGCGGGCTGGGAGCGGGCTGGGAGCGGGCTGGGAGCGGGCTGGGAGGATGTGTCCGGCGGGGACCCCACGCTGCGATGAAAGTAGGGGAAGAGGCGGAGGAGTACATCACGGCCCACCACCACGGCGAGGCAAGTCAACCGGCCCGTCGCCCGTCGTCTGAGTCTCCACCCTTTCCACTTCCTTAAACGTTTTGCTCCGGAACCACCTCGCTCCTTCCCCACGCTTTACAGGCTCCAGGTACCCCGGTTTTCGATTTTGGTAATGGGCACGACTCCTTCCTCACGTCGCCGAAACAACAACAGCAGCTGCTGCAGCAGCAACAACAACAACAACAGCAACAGCTGCAACAATACAACCATAACCAGGAAAACCATCCGTACCAACAGTACCAACCACCAACAGTGCAATTACCACCACCACCACAACAACAGCAGTACCAGCAACAGCAAAACCAGCAGCAACAGCTCGCTAACATGGCATCTCTGACTCCATCTCGTCGACAAACGACCAGCAGTGGCGCACAGCTTTTGGAGTTTTTCGGTCTATCGCCACACAGCCCGGTTAACAAAACAGGAGCCGACGCCGCCGGGGGGGCTGCGCTTGATAAGTGCCCCCTCTCACCTGTCTCGCGAAGCAGCACGCGCAGTAACCTGAATTTGTTTCGATCCGCGCGGCGGCTCACCCCAGCTGGCCAACTGCAGCAGCAACAGCAAGTGCTACAACCGATGATCTCTTCGGATGACGACCGCAGCGGCATGTCGTACGGCAGCGGCATGCCGTCGGCGGCGCCGCCGCCGGCGATGATGATGCCGCAGCGACGCCGGAAATCCGCATTGGAAGAGATGAACGCGCCTTGGTTGCGACCAATAGGGTCGGACTCTCAGTCAACGTGTACGGCAGAGACGCGTGACGGGGCCGACGCACTCTGGGAGCCCGCTGACGGCGGCGGCGGCGGTGGCGGCAGTGACACGACGGATCACGGGCCCGTGACGACCCCCGTGGTGGAGACGACGTCGGCGGGGCCGACGGCGGACGGAAGCGGCGGAGACGCTGTCGCTAATGCAGTCAGCGGCGACGGCAGTAGCAGCAGCGTCGGCGTCGGCGTCGGATCATCGATGCCGGCAGCCGGCCAGGGTGGAAACGACGGCGGCGGTGTTGGCAATCCGCGATCTCAAAGCCAGCTCGCGCGAGCTGACTCCGTGCAGCAAAACGTCGTCATCACCGCCGCCGCCGCCGCCGCCGCCGCGCAGCTCGACGAAGGCCAAGGCGACCATTCCCCTGTGGAGCGGCTCAGACCCTCTCCACCGGGCAGCTCGACACAGTTGGACCAGGCGCCCTCATCACCGTCGCCGCCGCCAGCTTCACAGCCTCCGTCCCATCATCATCTGCATCATCATCACCATCAGCATCCGCATCTGCATCAGCAACAACAGTATCAGCAGCAACAACAACAATACCGACAACAGGGTGTCCTGACAGACGGGACGGCAACAGCAGCGGCCGATGATAACTCGCCGCCGCTGCGGCCGGCACCGTCGTGGCCTCAGCCGCCCCGTCCGCCGTCAGCGTGCCGTTCCCCGGGCAGCTCGTCAGTCCACAGATCCGAACCGTCACCTGCGTTCCGATCAGGATCCGGTGCGCTATGCTCTGGCGGCGGCAGCGGCGGCGGCAAGAGCAGCTCTGGGACGCCGTTGAGCCCTCCCTTGCCCCGCCCTGGGCCCGGGTTGACACCCGGGCCTCTCGCCGCCGCGAACAGCAGATTGCCGCCGTTTGCGCTGGGCTCGGGAGGCTCTGGAGAAAACGGCCGCCTGGCTGACCGAGACGAGTGCTTGCCAGGTTACGCCGCGGAGCCGTTGGCCCATCGGTGCAGTACAAGTCTTCAGGGTCGGCCGCCGCCGCCGCCGCCGCCGCTGACCGGCCTACACCGGCTCCAGGCCGCCGACTCGGCGGCGGCACCGTCGTCGCCGCCGCCGTCGCCACCGTTTCCGCCGTCGCCGGGTCCTGTAGTGGAGTCCTTGATCGCGACGGAGCACACGCCGATGATGCCGTACGACGGCGGCGTCGGCAGCCCGCCGGACGCCACCGAGGTGAAGCCCTCCCGCGCAGTGGTGTCCTTCACGACCGCCGCTGGCGACTGCAGTTCCCCGACTGGTGTGGACGCGTACGGCGATGACGCCAGACCCTCCGGGCGATCATCGCGGCTGGTGTCTCAGGAACCGAGCTCGTCCTTCAGTCAGGGCGCTCAGATGATGGCGGGGCTGCGGACCATAGCCAAGAACATCACCACGCGGCTCGGCATGGTACTTGGCGGTCGGGGGGATTTGCTATCGCCGGGGGCTGCGTCCCAGGGCGACACGTCGGGTTGGGGGGATGTTGCAGACGCCGGAGCTGGCGGCGGCGGCGGCGGCGGCGGCGGGGGCCCCCGGGAGATGTCGCCGCGTCCGAGCTGCCCTGGTGCTGGTGAGGCGACCGCCCTCATCATGCCCAACAATCCTTGGGAGTGGCAAGACCACTACAACGAGAAGGTCGACCTATGGCAGGTGAGTGTGTTTGCGTCTCTCTGTCTGTCTGTCTGTCTGTCTGCCTGTCTGTCTGTCTGTCTGTTTATATGTATGTATATATATGTATATATACGTATATATATGTATGTATATGTATATATATGTATGTATATATATGCATTAATGTCTTAGAAACATTTTGTTAAAATCATGTGCGTCAGCAATCCTTTTTCCTCCTAACTAACAATACGCGCAGGTGGGCTGTCTGGTGCACGAAATCCTGTGTTTCAGTCTTCCCTTTGAAACGGAGGATAAGCTGCTCGCGAGCGCGCTCATTCTCTGGGCCGACATCGTCTCCTTCCCGGACCACCTCTCCCCCGAGTGCCACGACTTCATGCGGGCGTGCCTCACGAAGAACCCCGTAGAGCGACCCTCGGCCGCCGAGCTGCTCCAACACCCCTGGATCGTACGACACGCTGCCGGGGAGGTCCTAAAATCCGTACGGGAACACAGGGAAAATGAGACCCTCGCCGCGTTTTCCAGCGCGCAGCAGCTGACGCTGCTGCAGCGCGCCGCAGCGGCGATAGGGCTCGGCTGGGTAGTCGGCGCCGGCGGCGGCGCTGCCAGCTCCCACCCCTCTTCTTCTTCTTCTTCCTCCTCCTCCCCCCGCGCCGCTTCTCCTTGGGGTCGGTGGTTCTGGCTTCTCCGCCGTTGGAACTGGAACTGGAGCTCCAAAGTGGCGCCCTCGGGAGAGGACGAGGGGGGGGAGAAGGATGAGGGCGAGGCCAAGCTGGCCATGGCGATGGCGATGGTGCAGGAGCAGCATCAACAACAGCATCAACAACAACTCGGGGCCGGCACAGGGTGTGCTGCGGAGCGCGGCAGCAGGCGCAAGTCCGCGGATGTTGAGGCGGCTCGCCGCAGCTTGGAGTGGATTCGGCAGCACCAGCATCATCGGTAGCACTCGACCGCGCAACCGTCGCCCGGCGGCGGGTTCGATGCGCGGGGGGGTCGAATGTGAGCGGGTCACAGCCATGTACTACACGACTATTAAGTCGTCGTGCCGTACTAGGACGACGACGGACTCCGAAAAGACGTCAGCTGCAGATTCGACGCGGAATTTGCGGCGATAGGGATTTTACGGTTCCTAATCCCCCGGGTGTGCTGCGCACACCTTTCTCTCCTCAGATCGCCGCGTGTAACAACCCACCAACAGTCCGTTTACACCGGCACAGTTGCAGTGTAGCCGTGTGTGCGCGGCCCGTACATGATCAATTGTCGTACAACACCCAACGGTGCACTCTGCCTCACATACTTAGGCTCCCTGAGCATGCACACTTTTACGCGCACGTTGCCGTACGAGGTCAGACCCCGTACATACCAAATTTATTGCTTTTACCCCCCCGCGCCACAAGCGCGCGCACAGGCTGTTGTATGCTGTGGGGAGGTGCATATATGTTCACATTACTGTGTGTGTGTATTGCCGTACTGGACGAGTAAAGACTACTCACCCTTGCATGCTGCCGTGTTCCGTTCAGGCGGTTACGTCGCCACTGCTGTGTTGGTTGCGACTGTACGAGGCAGAGCAGGATGTACGTGATACATACTTGTAGCTGAAGTTAGACACAAAGCTCATGCCCACGTACTTGAGCGTTTGCCGTAGTGCGCTCTTTTTGACTGTTGTGCCGTGTACGAGAGCTAGTGGCAGTGGCAGGAAGCTATATGCTTGTATCTGTATATGTATGTATGTATGTGTGTCTGTGTGCTCTGGAAGGAAAATAGCCGTACGCTACGTCGTCGTTTCTGCACCTATGTATTATGTTTGTATTTATTTATGTGTGTATGTATATGTATGTATGTGCGTGTTTGCACGCGTGCGGGTGGCCTGCGAGTGCCGGTTGCGCGCGGGAATTGAGTTATTGTTACTATTGGACAGTAGAGCGCTGTTTTCTTAATTCGATTACAGACAGCAGTACGGTACGATAAGGTACGGTACCGTACGGTGCTGATACGACTGTGACTTGCATGACTATGGCCATCGCGGTCATGCGATTACCAGAAAAAATAAGTGTGATGGTAGCGGGTATGGCACCTACTATGTCTGTAGCTGCAGTGGTGAGGAGCATGACGGGCAGAAGGGTCTGTGATTGTGGCATGATTTCGCTGGGCTGGCTTTGTGACGGCGGGGTTGAAAATTGGTGTTGGAAAAGTTGGATGGGGTTTTGCAAAGCCGAGGGCTTGGCGGCTGCGGGATGTATGCGCGTTTGGGTTGGAGCATGAGAACAAAGTAAAGCAGCGCGAGCAGCAGCGGCGGAGTGGCGCAGAGCAGCGAAGCACCACACCGCGGAGGGCCAGTGGCGCGTAGAGCATTTTATAATAGTTAAATTTGGACGAGGAAGGGTACGCGTGTATGTATGTATGAATGTATGTATGTACGTATGTATTGAGGAGAAGAGCTGGAGCCGAAGAGGTCACAGGAGTGGTCAGGAGGTGGGCGAATGCGAGTCCCTGTCTCCCCTTTGCCATCGCCGACATAATGTTATCGTGCAGGAGCGAGCCAGGCCTTTAATTTCGTATATGTATATCATGGCCGCCGTCACTACCGCGCGGTCGAGTAGGAGGGCATTTATCTGGATGTGAAGTAGGTTTCGATGGGATCTGAGCTGGCCTAGAGCACGGAATGCCGGATGATGCACAAAGCACGGACAGGAAGAATTGCGGAGCGAAACTACAATTATATGTATGTTACGTCCAATCGTACGGGTTGTACTGCGGCCTCAGATTGGAGAGAGGGCCAGAGCCCAGACGGCCGGGCCGCGTGGCTCGGGTGGAGTTCGCGGTTTGTGCTTTTCCGTTTTATCCACAAACGGCGCAAAGGGGGAAGAAGGAGGGGAAAGGACGACGACGAAGAAGAAGAAGGAGAGAAGGAGAAGGAGAAGCCTCATCTGAGTCATCAGCTCTTGTTGGTTTGCGGGGTAGGGCAAGAAGGTGTATGTGTGTCTTGGGGTCCTGCCGCGCTCGACGCTCATCTTAGTGTCTTTGCGTCAGGACGGGCTTCCGTCCCTCTCATGGCTGGCCATTGCCGCCGTGCTTTTCGATCCAAGTGGATTCAATTTCTTTGTCAGTTGGGCTGTCAGCCCGTCCCCGGCTAGGTAAGAAGGGGGAGTGGCAGCAATGAGGAGCGCCGGCATCCGGACAGAGCAACAACACGCCATCGTTGCCGCTGCGGCATGTGGAATTGGGCGTCCCAGGATGGGACATGGATTGGAGGGGGGAGGTACGGGCAGGGCCAAGGAGCAATCTCACCCTCGCTGGGGGCGTCCCTTAGTTGCCTGTAGAAAAATCGCTTGGTGGGCTTAGCTGCCGGCAAGGGCATTGCTTTTGAGTCTTCTTTGTCCCGGATGCTGGAGATATGTGTACAGCGCGCGAAACACAACCTTGTACTACAGAGATAAGAGTACGGTATACGGTACGATGCGGTAGAAGTGCGTGTTCGATGGGCAGCTGCAGGCGCTGTTGTCGAATGTGGACATATATGTTCATGGCCGCGCATACGATTTTCGGTATATTTTGTGAGATTGTGTGGTTTGTCTGCATATATTGCGCAATAAAGAAATGACCGGCTGGGAGGAAAGCGGTAGGCGCGAGAGGGTTTGGCCGGTGCTAGGGTTTTACTTTTGCTCGTACGTGGAAGTGGTCCCCCAACGGGGCGTCAGCGGTGCCTGCTGCATGAGGCTACAACAAGTTACTCTATCGTCGTGGATTCATGCCGGGTATGACGCATTTTCCTTTTTCTGGACGAAGGGTTTGCGTCGGGAAGCCTCAAGGATATCCCCGCGATTGACATCACATACTTCCATACTGCGGTCGTGTGTACTGGAGATGTGCGTGAACATTTGGTGGCTTGTTGAGAAACTGGAGATGTATGCCCACGTAGCCAGAAGTAAAACGAAGGCAAGAGCATTGCATTCGATGGGTTGTGTGGTGGGAATGGATGGGAGGACAGGCGTTGCCTTCTACAGCGCGCTCGCAATTTACTGCGGTATCATATTGCTGAAGATGTAACGTTTCTTCTTCTTCCCTCTTTTTTTCGCTTAGATGGGGCGTAGCGTAGCGATTGGAGCTTCCAAAGCTGGTTCTGTAAACCTGTCATACGGCTTGGATCGCAGTGGCGATCTTTTTAAAAGCTTCTGCTCTCCGAAGCCTTCATTATGCCTTCTCTAAGTAGAGCTTTCGGCTTTGTCTTTCGCCAACTTCTCCCAATCCCGAGGTTTCATCTAGCGTCCCCCTCCTACACGTCCCCCTCCCCCGTCCCCTCTTTTGACTTCCCTCTTCCCGTTCCCCTCTTTCAAAGGCTCCTCAACAACGCAGGAGCTTGGCCGCGGCTTTCCATCAGGGGTTGGGCTCGGGGGTGGGTTCTTCCGTTGCTGCGGCGTTCAGAGTCCCAGGGAGCACCATGCAGGCCTCGAGATGCGTTCTTGTGTTGTCCTTAGCGGCTGCTTTGTCGTTGGGCTGTCCTCCCCCTGTTTAGGGTGACTCTTGGTTATGGGAGAAAGGAGCACAGGATAGCTGGACGCTCAGTTGGCAACTTCAGGCGGCGTTTTTACGGGGATCTGTTGGGACAATCTAAGTCTGGAAAAATCTAAGTTCATATTGTTCATGATTACACTACTACGGTGTGCTGGTTGGGCCGATGCTCCTTCCGCATACTCTAAGGTTGGTACTTTTCAACCGTAATGGCAAGGTGAGGTGCTGTAAACTAGCCACAGTGTTTTGATTTGTTGCCTTTTTTATTCTTTTCAGTTATTGTTTCCAGCTCGGCGGCTCATGAGCCTCTTGGCTCGTCTGGGCCGTACAAGCTCAAGAAGCTTGTAATCAAACTAGGAGAAAACTAGCCACGCCGGCTAATAGGTCAAGCACTATACGCCATAAATGTATTAAGAAGTTCCTCTTAAGGTACCGTTTGGACAATCTGTTGTTAGTAGTCTTGGACATCAAGACGTGGACGTGTCACAATTTTTTACACTCCACGCCACGCAAATTGTAGCTTCTACGCCTATTATATATTTTTTGTTGCTAGGAAAGAGTGTCAGGTGCAAACATGACCACCCAATAGAGTGCGGCTACCTTAGCCATACGAGCTGGACGCGCAGAACTGCAATAGCTAAACGCCCCTGGACAAAAAATTGTACAACCATTAAGGAGCCCGCTTGACGCCTGTGTGCCCTCCATTTGGGTATGGCCCTAAGCTGCAACCCCGCTTCCTCTGTCAGGACACCGCATGGAAGGCCAGCCTCTCGTGACCGCTGTCCTGGTAAAATGCAGGGACCATGCTATATCAATAGCAGGCTTTCTAGGCTGGAGGGCGCTTAGCATTTCACCTTGTGAGCGGAGCTGGAGGGAGCAAACAAAATGTTTTCGCGGGCTGGGGCGACGCAAGTCCAGCCCTTGGCAGGCGCAGGTGAACATCAATCTAAATAATTGGCACTGGCACGGGTTCCGATATTTTCTTGCCAACATGTCTGGCACATTAGCATCAAGGCAATCAAACTTCGCGAGTCGCGCCTGCAGCATTTAAACATTTTTTCCATAATATAATACTTATTTTGTATCTTTTTGTCGTCGACGGGCCAAAGAAACCGGTTCCGTTTCGCTGAAGACGTTAGGCGGAGTGGCCATGGCTTTTGCTTCCGTCGGCATGCTCTAATGTGTGCAACTTAGCACATAGATTGTCCAACTTTCCTTTCATACTCCCGTGGAACGTGCAACAGATCCACGCGCCAATCCCCTGCGCGCACTGTTGTTAGAGGCAGCACCCCGCGTTTAACCCCAGGCCCTCGTCCCTACCTGGCAACCCGGTGACTGGATTACGCGGTGCGGGCCCTAGCCATCCGTCCTCTAACCCGCCAGCAGGGCCGCATGCTCGCATGCATTCGGCGCCGCCGTGCGTGCTGTTGGAGGCCGCACGCCAAGGCCCCGGTCCAGTAGCGGCCCCCAACACCCCGGCATTCACAAACATGTCCAATAATAACACACGCACACGCACCAGTTGTGGCCTAAAGTTAAGAAAAGGCCATAGGCGAAGCCCTGGTAGGCAGCCAAATAGGAAGTGCTGGATGGCGGGTCATTGGCTCGCCGGTGCCGCCCTTAATCTCCCCTCACCTCCCTCCTCCGCCGCCCCAAGTCCTTGACCAAAACTCATCGCCAGCTGCTGCTGGGCTGCTGGGCTGCTGGGGCCCGACCTCTTTGGTAAAGCACCTTTTCCTCTTCCTCCCCTCATCCTCCTTGTCCCTTGCTCCTTGTGCCCCTTGGAGGAAGCCCGGACAGTACTTTGCCGTTTTCAAACTCCTGGCCTCTACCATCACCATTTGGAATGCACGAGCTGCCAATGCGACCTCACGATCATTTCAGATTTCGGGCATTTGAGTTCTGAGCTGGTTAAGCTTCGCTTTTAAATGCACGGCTCAAACGCATCAGGCTTACAGGCATTTATTCAAACCCATGTAACCATAGGCTATCCTCAAGTTCGAAACGGGTGAAAAACGAATGTATGTGTCCAGAATGGAAAGATCTGCGTGTTTGATAACAAGCGCGATCTGGGTCCGGTTCGGCAGCAGTGTTTCCCGTCTGTGGAAAACTCACCCACCTCTCTACCCCGCCACGCAAGTTTCAGTCTCTTCTACGCCTCCTCGCTATTCCCGCGTTTCCCCCCTTTTACCACTGTGAACGACGCTAGACCCAGGACGATTATTTGCTTTTTTTCTTCGCGCTTCTTGTTTCTGGACGGTTCGCTTTCCCTCCCTTTTCGACCCATTTACCATTCGCCTGCCTAGCTCAGTTACGAACTCAAAAAAATTGACCAACATTTTTTAACTCTGTGCCCGACGGAATATCTGATTATCTCTCCCGTTCCCGAACATCTTTCCTTTTCAAACTTCCGCTTCAACCCAGATGACTTTTTCGGTCGACCCGACATGCTCAACAACAGCGTCACCCAGACGCGCATGCCCACTAAGTGCAATAGCGGCTTGTTGGCGCTCAAGGTGCCCGACCCGCCGCAGTTTGCGCCGTCGGCCGTGTGCGCCATTTCAGCGGACGGCAAGATTGCGGCGGTGGGCGGCCGGGATATTGAGTTGTTCCTTTGGGACGTGGACACGGGCGACCTGCTGTCCAAGATCCGCGGTCACGACATCTTCTGGGTGGGCTCCCATGACAATGCCTTTTTCATTACGTGCCAGGAAGACGGCAAGGTGAGATGGAAGAGGGGGGATGAGAGGTAAGGGTGAGATGGAAGAGGGGGGATGAGAGTTAGGGGTGAGATGGAAGAGGGGGGATGAGAGTTAGGGGTGAGATGGAAGAGGGGGGATGAGAGTTAGGGGTGAGATGGAAGAGGGGGGATGAGAGTTAGGGGTGAGACGGAAGAGGGGGGATGAGAGTTAGGGGTGAGATGGAAGAGGGGGGATGAGAGTTAGGGGTGAGATGGAAGAGGGGGGTGGAGGAGGGAGTTTAGCAAAGCAGCTGGATGGATGTTTTTATCGCGGGCGTGATAGGGGGTAGAAAGAAGGACGGAGGGCTTGGGGTGGGATGGTGGGATCAGAGAACATTGGGGAAGACGCGGACTGTGGGCTCTATATATTTTTAACGTTACGGTCTGGCATTTTTCGGCGGTCATGGGGAAGCCGAACGCGACTTTGTCTATCTTCCATCATGCACCTGGATTTTTATTGTGAGTTTTCCTTCTCTCCACCCTCTCATGACTACTTTGCACCGTTTCCTTTGAGGCCTGCCTTATCTGTATTGGCATTTTCCCTTGTCCAAAATCACCATCTCCATCGGTCCTATTTCGCGCCCTCTTTCCTTTGTTCCTGTGTTTCTTTCACTCTCTCCCTCTTCCTCTTTTAGGTCGTTTTGTGGGACCGCGGCACCATGCGCACCACACTGACGCTGGGGGAGGTGGCGGACGGCATCACCTGCTGCCACATCGCGCAGGATAACGACTTTGTGGTTGTGGGGAGCGCGAAGGTGGATAGGGGGGAGCGTGCTGGGTGTATGCTGGGTTCGTGGGGGAGGGGGAGGGTGTTGGGAGCTGCAGCTGCATATGGGATTCGGGAGAAACGCCGGGTGCGATGTGCGGTTTGTTTGTTGGGGTTGGACATACATACATGCGTAGTCCTGGTCGAGCCGGAAAGGACCCGAGGGGTAATGAGCGGGAAGGTAGGGGGTTGGGGGGATGGTCGGGCGGGGCTGGGGGGGTTGGGGGGGACTCCGATTTTCCCCTGTAAGAAGAAAGGAAGCCGCGCCACAGCCTTCCAGTTTGAAAGGGTTGTCCTTCATCTCCTCAATCAGCGGAACAGCGCGCTCCTTTTGTTTGCTCTCGGCAGCACTTCCCTGCCCTGCTCCCTTCCTCACCTCGGCCGGTTTTTTCTCCAAAAACCACACACACAATCCCTAGGCCTCATATCCCCTACACCCCGGTCCCTCCTTGAAATCGTGTCCGTCCCAGGGCAACGTGTACAGCTGGGATACGGACACGGGTACGGTGGCGCACATGTACGAAGCGGGCCACAAGGGGCCCGTACAGTTTGCCCAGGTGTATTCATTACCAAGCTACGGCCGCTGCGTGGTGTCGTGCGGCGCCAAGGACCACACAGTGGTAAGGTTTCGGAGCCTGGCGGTGGGGGGGCCCCGCACACCCGGAGAGGGGGGTTGAGAGGTTTATAAAGGTGAGGGGATATGTTGAGGGCGTCTGGGAAAGGAGGGAATCTCCCACCTTTCACCCCTTCCACCCCAAACACTCCACAAACACGACGTAGTCTCGGACCGGACCATCCCCTTCACCGCGTTTTACCCCCTGACTCCCCTAACAGCTCATGCCGCATTCTCTATGCCGTACATCCTCTGAGATTTCGGAAATGAGATTTCGGAAATGAGATTTCGGAAATGAGATTTCGGAAATGAGATTTCGGAAATATTAATATACCACCACGTATATAACACCACCACCTGAACACATTCCTTGGGTTATCAAGTCGCCGTTGTTGCTCTTCTGTGGCATCTTCAGCCCATCCTTCTCCCGGCTCAACTTATAAAGATTTGTTTAAGTACATACGTACATACACACATGCATAAAGAAACACATCGTACACACACAATCTTGCAGGTGGTGTGGGATCTTTTGAGTGGGGAGCCCCGCGCGCTGATTGAAATCAAGGAGTTGGAACACGCCAAGAACCTCAAGTACGACGTGACACGCGACGGTGCGCGTGTGGTGGTTTGGTGTACGGATTCCGTACCCTTTCCCAACTTGGTGGTGGTGGATATCATGTCGCAGAACAAGATCTCCGTGTATTGCCATGAGGGTCTTGTACGGCAGGTGAGCTCATGGCGGTTGTTGGTTGGGGGGACGAGGCAGGGGGGTTGAGGGGGATGTGTGTTTGGGTAAGGGTGAGAGAGGGTGTGGAGGGGAAAAGACAATGGCACCGGTAAGGTGAGGAGAACGGAGGGGGAGGGGGACGTGTGGGGAGCGGGGTTTCGGAGCGATTCGGGGATGTCGGCGGCTCGCGAGATAGTACGAGGAAAAACACATCTTTCTCTTCGTCAAAATCTGCCATCATCGCCACCATTACCATGTTTTGCAGTTGGTTGGTTGGTTTTGCGTTTTGCGTTTTGCGTTTTGCATGCAATCCCTTTCAAAATATCTTATTTCGGAGATCCGCACCAACCGGCCCCGTCCTTCTCCTCACCCCCTCCCCCCTCCTTCCCTCTCCACCACCGCGTCCCGCAGGCGGTGTTCACTCCGAACGGCGATCGGATCATCAGCTCAGGGAACGATAACCGGCTGCAGGTACGTGCGGGGTATTGATGTTTTTTAAGTTGGAATCTTTTTGTGGGGGAGGGGGAAAGAGGTGTGGGGAGGGAAGGGGGGTACGAGAGGTAAGGCCGATGGGGTCAGGAGAGAGGCCGGGGAGGAGGAGGATCTGGAGCCGCGGGGTGCGGAGACATCTCCACATCCACATCCGAATAAAATGATTCCACATGTCCTTATCTGTCCCCGCCACCGGCCCATCATCATTACCACCACCACCAAAACATATCAATGCAAACCAGTACACACCAGTACACACACCAATACACACACCAATACACACACCAATATACACGCAGACTGCCGTCTGCGGTTCTCCCCTCTAATCCAGCCTTCTATCTACCCCTCTCATCTTTTTCCTCTCATACAGACAAACAAGTATATCTCCAGATTACCTAAGGAAACCCATCCTAACCCTTTTTTACACACACACACACACCCCTTCTCCCCCCCACACCCACACCCCCACTTCACTCGTTTGTGGTTCGTCTTCCCCCCCCCCCCCTAACCCCCGTTGCCAGGTTTGGGACACGTTCAGCCTTGAGAACCTTGTCACCATGAGCGGCCACGAGGGCAGCGTGTTGTGTTGTGCCGTCAACGAGACCGCGACCCGGGTGGTCAGTGGGGGGGAGGACTGCTCGGTGCGCCTGTGGAGCCTGGATGATGGAAAGCAGCTGCTGTGCTTCCAGGTAAAGGAGGGGGTGGGGAAGAGGGCGGTGGGGTGGGTGAATACAAGACGGGTGAATGGCTGGGGGCGTGGTGGGTGAGGGCGAAAATGGGTGAAAGTAGGGGAGAGGAGGTATTGGTTCTTTCTGCTACCTGCTCTTTCAGGTAAAGGAGGGAGTGGCTCTATCATGCACCCCCGGGCCCGCACCGCCACAGCGTCATCCGGCGCTAGAACCACCGCCACCACCCCTATAGCCATAGACCCCTTTCCCTGAGTGAATGAGTGAGTGAATGAGTGAGTGAATGAGTGAATGAGTGAATGAGGATGTCATATCACTGAACATCTAATGGCCCTCATACTGTTCCATTTGACCCCTCGCCCCTTCCCTTCGCCTCTGCCGTACTTTCCGTGGCAGTTGTCTCCCTTTAGTTTGCGCATATCTTCAGCCCTCCCCGCCGCTATGGTCGATGGTATATTTTCTTTTCGTCAAAATTGTCTGTGGTTCGTCGTACCCCTCCCCTCCCCCCAACCCCTATCCGTCTCTATCTCTGGTTTCTGCTTCAATCACAGTGGTTCGTCTTTACCCTGCCTTTGTTGCGGCCCCCCTCCTACTTCTTGTACACTCTTTCCCTGGCAGCAAGGCTTCACTCATTCACGTGGTTCGTCTTTCCCCCCCCCTTCCCATCCTTCCTTTCAGGCCCAAGACGAGCCCATCAAGCAGGTCCAGTTCGCCAGCTCGGGACAGAAGATCCTCTCCTGCGACGTCACCGGCCGCGTGTACGTCTGGTCCATGCATGCCGAGTTCCTGACCAACCTGATGCGTCGGTACGCCGACAACATCTCCGCATGCGCCATGTCCAACGACATGAAGCTGTGTTTGGTGGGCTGTAACAACGGCCGCGTGATGCTGTGGGATGTGGAGCGGCGGGAGAGCGTGTGGGAGTACACGCACCACACGGGCCGAGTGGAGGCGGTGGCGTTCAATTCCATGCGGGACATGTGCGCGACGGCGGGTGCGGACGGACGGATTGTGCTGCTGTTCAGCGACAGCGGGAAGCAGGTGCGAGCCATCTAGGCGGTGTATGTATGTGTGTGTGTGTGTGTGTGTGTTGTGAAGGGGGGGAAAGTGGACGTGGTGAGGGTTGGGGCCGTTGGGGTTGGGGGTTGGGGGGTTGTAGCTTGGGGTTTGGGAGGAAGACGTTATACGTTAAGTTGTAAAGGATTCGGATTAATAGCCGGGATGTCCATACGGCCAAGTGCTGCGGGGGATTGGGAGGGGGAAAGAGGGAGAGCAAAAAAGTGGGGGGGAGGGCGAAGGCGGGAGGTTTGGAAGAGGCACAGCCGTAACTAGAAAGAATGTGTATGTAAGTAACTATGTATGTATTCATGTATTTTAATGATCTGAGCCGTGCGGGGGCTATGGGGACGACTTATGCCACGCAAAACACACACCACCCTTCTGCCCATTCCGGTTTCTGGTTTCCCCGCTCTTTTCCCCTCACACTCCCCTAACCCTTTCCGCTATCTCCACCCTCCCCCCCGGATTCCGTACAGGCCAACTCCTTCCTCGGCGCCGAGGAGCCCATGATGACGGTGCAGTTCTCCCCGGACGATGAGCGCATTGCGGGGTGCGCCGCCGACGGCAAGCTGTACCTGTACACCACCGCCGGCTCCACCCGCAAGCCCAAGGCGGTGCTGAGGTCCTCCGTGGCTCGGATCAGTAACCACGTGTGGTCGCCGAATTCGAAGCTTGTGGCGGGGGCGTGCTCGGATGGCACCATGATGGTGGGTGCAACGTGGCTGCTTGGAGGGGCCAGGCAGGGAGGGGGGAAGAACTACGGAAGGGGGGAAGGGAGGGCAGGGAAGGGAGAGGGAGGGTGGGTGGGTTTCAAGTGGAGGATGAAGTTTAAGGGGACTTGTGAGATAGATATAGCCTGGCCTGGCCTGGCCTGACCCCGCGTGGTTGTGGTCTGCCCTGGTGAGAAGGTGGCTGGGGAGGGTGGAGGGGTTCCGTCCCGGCTGCATGGTGTTGGCATGCTGGATTCTTAACATGCAAATACACATACTCACACTCCCACACATGCGCGCGCGAGCGGCCCCATCTGGGCTTCCGCTTCCTTATCTTGTCCTTACATTCCCCCTTTCCCCCCCGCACACACAAACACGCACACCGCCACCACCACTGCCACCCCGGGCGGCTTCACGTGATGCCTTCTGGCCTCCTGCCGGCTCTCTTTCATTGTTTCACTCACCCGTCCCACCTCCCCGGCCAGGTGTGGAATGCCAGCTCTGGTGGCATCCACAGTGTACTGGAGGGCGCGGCAGTGGGGGCCACGTGCTGCTGCTTCGACCTCATTGGGAAGCTGCTGGCTGTGGGGACTGTACTGGGTACGTCCGGAGGGGGAAAGAGGGGGAAAGAGGGGATAAGCTCTTACACTGCCATACAGCATTGATTCATCACAGTTAACATCGTCATCACACCACCACTCGTGCACACTTGGCGCCGGCCCCCTAACCCTTCATACATACATACACACACACAACCCCCGTGTTGGCCGGGGTTGGAGCTATGACGTTGTGTTGATGAACGTGTCCTCCTTGGCTGGGTTTATTCACACTGCTTTATCCTCTCAACCCCGCCCCACCATCGTCATTATCATCATCATCATCATCATCATCATCATCATCATCATCATCCCCATCCCACCACCTCCATTGCCACCATTGATACCATCGCCGAGTATGTTTTTGTACTTGCTACGTCGTGGCCATGTCGTGGTTCTTAGATGCCTTCTCCCCACCTTCTCCCCACCTTCTCCTCACCCACCGAATGCTTCCAGGCACCACGCTGATGTACAACCTGGAGACAAGCGAGATGTTGGTGGAGCTCAAGGGCAATGCCAGCCCCGTGCGGGAGGTGGTGTTCAACCAGGAGACCAGCCAGCTCACCACCATGTGCAGCAGACAGGCGTGTGTTTGGGACGTGTCATCCGCGACCAAGGTAATGGGGGGGAGGGGGGAGGGGGAGGAGCAGGGGGGGAAGAGAGTGGAAAGGGTCGAAGTTAAGGGAAGGGATAAGCGCACACACACACACACTGGGACAGACAGACAGACAGACAGACAGATAGACAGATAGACAGACAGACACGCACCGGGGGGATGGGGAGGTAGAGGGGGGAAAGGGTCAACGCAGTACGGTTGAGCTGACTTGTCTAAGGGGTTATTGAGGAGTTGTGGACATGGATAGATGGATGGGTGGACAGAGCGGGGTTTTGGTCCGTGTGTGAGGGGTATATGTTTGTGGAAAGTGTGTGTGTGTGTGCGTATGTATGTATGTGGATAGAGCATGCGGGATGTTGTTATGGTCCGGACGGAGACAACACACAGACCGACGTGTGTATACGCATTTCTGTGTGTTTGTCTGTATGTGTATGCGTTCTTAAGCCCCCGCATGTATCGGTGTTCGTATATATGTATGCATATGTATGTACGTATGTTGGTCGCAGATCCGCGTGTTTGACTTTGTGATGGACAAGGCTGGTGACTTCAAGTCGCCCCCTCACCCGTACCGTTGGGCTGTGGCTCACAACTCCACGGTGCTGTTCGACCACGAGAGTGAGGCGCTGGTGCTGGACATGCTGACCATTGATGACCCGCTGCTCAGGTCCTACTACCTGTCAGATGTGCAGGTGTGTTTGTTTAATTACGCAGGTGTATCGGTGGGGGGGCCAGAAGGGGGGAAAGGGGGAGGAAGGGGAGATCCTGGGGGTCTCGAGAGCACCCACGTGCCAGGAGGAACGCGGGACGACCTTTATTTCAAAATGCATCTCTTGCATTGTTTTGCGCCTTCATTCATACCCCACACCACACCACACCACACCACACGACACCTTCCCCGCACGGCAAGGCGGTCAACGAGGTATATACTCCTTTTTTTCCTGTTTCATGCATGTTATCAATACCCTCAACATGCATGTAGTATTGCGGTGTGTGTATGGGTATGTATATATGTATGCATGTATTTATGTATGTATATATGTATGTATTTATGCACGTTTGTATGTCTGTGTGTGTGTTTTGCAGACCATTGCCAGCGGTTTCAACCACCGCAAGCTTCTCGTCTGGTCGGCTGCGGGTTCGTCCGCTCCAGACAAGTTTCACACCACCCATGACGCCATCACCTCGACCCACTTTTCAAACGACGACCGATTGGTGGTCATGGGAACGCAGGTGGGGTGCGGGTGGGGGTTGGGGTTGGAAGGGGGGAAGGGGGAGAGTGTGTTTGTGTATGGGATGAGGGGGAATGGCATGGGGTGGTTGGGCGCAGGAGCTGTGTTTCAATCAACTGGACGGAGAGGCAGGAATGGCATGACGAAGGAAAGTGAGACACACACACAGGTGCAACCTTGTTGCTGAAGGAAGTAGTCCAGCCTGGAGGTTGTGTGTATGTATGTCTATGCGTATCATGTGCGCGTACGTGTGGAGAGAGCAAGCGCCGCAACATCGTCATCAATCGAAATGTATCTGTTTAATGCATCTGGTTTTGATGCATGTGTTACGCACCATGCCGTACCGACGCCGCCGTACATGACGTACCATCGTACAATATACCAGGACGGCAACGTGGTGGTTTACGACGTGGTACATGGCGAGACGGTGGAGATTATCGTGGGTCATCAGAACGGCCCCTGCCGCTGCGTGAAACTGTCCGCTGACAACCGGGAGGTGCTGTCGTGCGGTGCGGACTCCAAGGTGGTGCTGTGGGACTGGCGGAAGAGGAGTCCCCTCCGGATCTATTCGGGACACTTCATTTCCATTGGCTGCTGCGACATGTCCATGCAGGTGGGGGGGGGACGCATGGCGGCGGGGGGGGGGAGGGGAGGAGGGGGAAACGGGAGGAGGGGAAACGGGAGGAGGGGAAACGGGAGGAGGGGAAACGGGAGGAGGGGAAACGGGAGGAGGGGAAACGGGAGGAGGGGAAACGGGAGGAGGGGAAACGGGAGGAGGGGAAACGGGAGGAGGGGAAACGGGAGGAGGGGAAACGGGAGGAGGGGAAACGGGAGGAGGGGAAACGGGAGGAGGGGAAACGGGAGGAGGGGAAACGGGAGGAGGGGAAACGGGAGGAGGGGAAACGGGAGGAGGGAGAGAAAAAAGGAAGGTGGAAATGTTGAGGTGGGGAATAGAAAGGCGGTGTTGTAAAAAAAGGAGGAAGAAAGGGTCGTGTGGTGCGTACCCATCTTTTCCTTTTATCTTTCACTACGCCGTGTGCGTATCCAATCTCGGTGTTACCCCTCTCGCCGCCTCCCTCCCTCCCTCCCTTCCCCTTTCACAGGGTAACCGGGTGGTTTCAGGTGACAACCACGGCATGATTTGCGTGTGGGAGAAGGACAGCGGCAACCCCGTACAGACCCTGCCGTTGGCGCACTCCAAGGCGGTGCTGTCGGTCACCATCTCCGCCGACGGATCCACCATTGCCTCCGTCGGCGCTGACGATAAGGCAAGGGGGTCAACAAGGGTCAAGGCAAGGGGGTCAGCAGGGCCGGGGGGCCCCATGTCCTATTTAGGACATAAATCGCTGGGGCCATTACCAAGGCTAGGACCAAGAAGGGCCCGATTGCGGCATAGAGCGAGAGGTTGGGGTAACGGGGTGTGTGGGGGGAGGAAGGGGAGGGGAGGAGGTAGAGGCGGAAGGTGAGGACATGGATGATATGACGAGGTGAAAAGATTATCCCCTCAACCCCCGGGGGTCCCGCAGGTGTCCATTTGGAATGTGGATATTGGCATTGAGCTGGTGTCCCTGACCGCGGCTGTGGAGTCCCACCCGCTCTACTGCTCCTTCTCCCCCGACGGCAACAAGCTGGCGGTGACGGAGTCCAACGGCAACGTGATGGTCTGGAACGTGGCGGCGGGCTGCCAGTGGTATATGATCTACCAAGTGAGGGTGTGAGAATGTAGAGGTAGTAGTAATAGTGATAGTAATAATGATAATAATGATGATGATAATAGTGGTAATAGTAATAATAGTAATAGTGGTGTTCAGGGATGGTTGCTTTCGTTCCTTTGTTGCTCTATTGACCACACGCGGCGCGGCGGCTAGACATGTCACACGGAGAACCGGACAACCAACCGCTGATGTGTTTGCTGGTGGTCTTTTCCGCAGCCCTCGGCTCCCGCACACCCCATCCGCCGCCATCCATCCTCGGGCCCCCCACCCCACCCACCCAAACCCCCCCGCCGTGCCCTCCAGGCCCACAAGGGCAAGGTGACAGGCTGCTCCTGGTCCGCAGACTGCCGTAAATTCACGACATGCGGTACGGATAGTGTGGCCGCTATTTGGGATGCCGAGTCCGGGGCGCCGCTGTTCAAATTCAACCTCAAGGCGGGGCCGCTCACCTCCTGCTCGGTGTCCCCCTCGGGGCTGTATGTCGCGGCGGGATCGACCACCGGTAAGGTGGAGGTGGGGGAAGGGAAGGGGGGAGGGGGGAGTCTTGGGTTTGGGTTGGTGTTTTAGGGCTGAGGAAGGGAAGGGGAGGGAAGGGGGGAGGAGCCTCTCCCCAGCAGGGCCCCCCAAAATGCTTTCCTTTTCCTTTTGGAGTTATTTTCCCCTAGCACGTCCTGCGGTGTTTTGTGATTTGGGCGGGGGAGCGGGGCCGCAAGGGAGTGGGCAGGTAGCCCTTGACTAGCTCGCTACTACCTTGGCCTCACCGGCTCGCTCTTGCGAGGCCGGTCTTCCTTCTCACAACGCAGCAGCGGCGTCGTATTTGTAGAATGTATCTCGAATTTTCCCGTTGGCTTCTCGGCCTCCCTTCTTCACACCTCTCCTTACATGCCATAGCTGTACATCCGAAACCTCCTCGATAATGCCGCACTCGCTCCGGTGTGGTTTCCCCTTAGGTCTTTCTGTCCGAGTATAAGCTTCTTTCCGTCCCCCCTCCCCTAATCCACAGTTTTTCCCTTTGTTCTGCATGTAACTCTCCCCCTTATTTCTTCATCTTGCTCCCATCTTCTTTCCCCTGTCAGGCACGCTGTCAGTGTCCAACCTGGCCACAGCCGCCCGCAACACCCCGGAGCCTTCCTTCCTATTCCACTGGCTAGCTACCCACGACCTGAAGGCCGCCAACTTCCTGTACCTGAGGCTGCTGGCCATGTATCCCTTCCTGGCGAATGTGCAGGACGCGCAGGTAGAGTGGTTTAGGGTTTATTCTGGTGATTTGGGGATTGGAGGGGCGGTTGTGGGGAGAGGGGGGAAAGGGGAACAGGCTGGGTCCCGGGCGGTTTATGAGAGGATCGGCTAAGGTTTTTTGGATGAGTGCGTGCATGTTGTGCTTTTTTTTACTGCTTTTGTGTTGAAATGGTTTTTGGTTTAGATGTGTCGCGGCGCCCTGTGCGTGGCTGTTGGGATCGTCCTTTCCTTCAAACGGCTTCAAACGGATTAACACAGCAGCCACCAGCCCACGTAACGCTAATGCCTTTTTACTCCACATTCCCGCGCGCAACCCCCCTCCCCCGAAATCACTCTTGTACTCTCCCTCCTTGGCAGCAGCTTCACTTGTTCGTGGTTCGTCTTTTTCTCCCCCCCCCCCCAAAATCCCCTCCCCGTTCCTCATGCTGCCTCTGCACGCCCGTGCCGCACGCTGTAGGGTTGGTCCATCGCCCTCCATGCCCTCTCCAGGGGGAATGCCGAGGTATCTGCAATCGTCATGGATGCTTTGTCCAACGAGTGCGGCGTGTTGGGTCTCATATCTGCGGTGCCTTTCTCCGTAGCAACTAGGATCAAGTTTCACAACCAGCCAGACGAGCCCGCCGGGCTGTTTGGCGGTGGCGGAGGCGGCGGTGGAGCCGGAGCACGGCCGACGAGTGCCTGGGCTGGTGGCGGCGACGGAGGCAACCGCAGCATACGGCCGCGTACAGCGGCGGCGCTGCGGTCGGCATCGATGGCTGTTGGTGCGGAGGGCAACAAGTCGATGCGGCGAGCGTCGCTGGCTTTCCTTAAAGTGAGCTGGTTTTCAGTTGTTTCGTTGTTCGTTACAATTCCGCCTAAAACCGTCTCTTTGACTACTGTACATATATATCAAGTCAAGGCTCTGCTGCAACTTGGACCATAGCTCCTCTTCCTTTTTGCCTTTACGTGCGTACGCGTGTTTTGTTTCGTCTCCTCCCCTCCAACTCCCATCCCGCAAAAGCTGGCTCTAGATCTCCTCCCAGAGGTTTGAAACCCGCTCCGAGGACGTCAGTCGGCCGCTGACCCTTTGCCACACCCATCCACCTTCCCCTCCAGCATCTTAACTTCCCCCCCACCCCAACACCCCCATCAGCATCACTCGTCTGTAGTATAGTCATTTCCCTTCCCCCCCAACCCGCAATACGGACCCACTGGAACCGCACTCCGTAGCCCGACGACGACGACGGTCAGCTGCTTCCCGACATGCGCCAAGGCAGCAACTTGCGGGACGTGCTGGTCCAGAAATCGAAGGCTTCTTTCAGCCAGCAGCTCAAGAAGGTGGCGGTGGAGATGGTGACGGAGACTCGCGACCAGGACCACATGGCGCTGATCCAGAACAATGCGGTGGCGCTGGCGCTCAATTCCAAGTCCTCGGAGTGCGTGCAGGTATGTGCGGGGCCATGGGTGCCTGCGCGTGTGTGCGCGTGTGCGTGTGTGCACCGATCACCCCCCGATCAACCCCCCATTACCTCCCGATCAACCCCCGATCAACCCCCAATCAACCCCCAATCAACCCCCGATCAACCCCCAATCACCCCCCGATCAACCCCCGGTCACCTCCAGGCGGTGTTGGACGCAGCCGCCGCCAACAAGGTGTCCTGGGGCAGCTATCACGCCATCACCGACATGATGCCCTCCCTGGCGCTAAGGTATCCCATCATGTGCTACCACTTCCTGGCGGCGCTGGACCTCAGAAATCTGGGCGACCTGGAGGTGCCGGTGGCGGTGCTGAAGGTGGGGGGGTGCCAGGGGGGGCCGGCGCTGTGGGCCTTACAGGTTGTGGGCCGTTGAAGGTTAGAAATGGGAATAAATGAAAAATGCTGGCTGTGGGGTTGAAACCGGGGTTGGGGATTAAATTGGGAAGGTGAATATACTCGCGATGTGAAATATATATATGGAGGCATCAAAAAATATATATAGGGTTTGGTTTTAGGGTTTTTGAGCCTAGGTCTGTCCGGCAGGGATCGATTAGGGCATGGCGGTGAAGTGTTTTAGCGGCTAAGGCGCGCGGCTGGATACTCTTTCTTTTCTATATCCGCCTTTTGTCAACGGGTAGCACCCGCCATCTCGTCCCCTTCTTTACACACACGCAGGGTTTGGACCGCTCCGTCATCCGAACGGCGCCGATTTTCACCAACGTGAAGAACCTGTGGCAGGGCCATCTTAAGCTGCACGAGGTCAAATTCGGTCCGCAGCCGTACGCACACGTCAAGGCGTCCATGGTACGGCTGCCGTACGCCTGTTCCATCGGCCGTGACTCGCTGCTTCAGACGCTTGTCGAGTCAGACGTGCCGGTCAAGGTGTACGGCACTCCGACACTACGCGCCATCATTAAGCACAAGTGGCGGTTGTACGCGCGGCGGAAGTTATTGTTACGGTCGTTGGTGTACGTTTTTTACGTCATTATGTTTACGGTGACGGGCATTTTGTTCAGCTTGGAGGATCACACACTGTCCATGTCCGGGTACTGGAAGACCAGCCAGGGCAAGGCGCACTTCATCATTGACGGCTACATCTTTGCGCAGGTGAGCGTTTGGTTGGTTGGTTGGTCGGTTGGTTGGTTGCGCTGCCCTCTCCTCTCTCGCCTAATGACCGGCGCGATACCGGGAGCCCCCACCATCCCCCCTCTGTTCATCATCCCTCCCCTCCCCACCTATTCTTGTGCCCCATCTCCTCGGTAGACTACCGAATCGGTAGTCTGTGTCGCTTGTGCAGCCGCCCCCCCCCGCCGCCGCATCCCGACAGCTCACCATGACACGTCTTATGTCCTGATCGGTAACTTAGGGTAACAGCACACCCACTTCTTCTACGACACACTTATCCCTTCTGTGCACGTGTGTGTGTATATATGTCTCTCTCTCTCCCTTCCCCCTCACACACACTCAGACACACACACATAGATACACACACATACATACAAACACAGCAAATACCCCGCTCGTACCATCCACAAGATCAAGACATGTTCTGCCCCCCCCCCGTCCCCTCCCCCTGCGGCCCTCTTCCGTCCCTAAGACCGCCTGGTACGCCTGGACGGAGCTGACTCAGATGTATGCCATCGGACTGAGCATGTACTTCCGAAGTTACTGGAACACGTTCGACAGCCTCATGATCTGCCTGGTGCTCCTGATTCCGCCACTGCACGTGGTGCGGCTCAGCGACAACGAGGGGGGCGCGCTGGGGCCGCTCATCGCCTTTGCAATGATCATGGTGAGACATGGGTGCGATGTGTGTGTGGTGTGTGTGGGGGGAGGAGGTGTCGGGTACCAACATTTGGATCCCTGCTTCTGGATCTCGGAATTGGTTGCTTGAGGGCGCAGGAACGGAGTGAAGCGGAATGGAGCGGAATGAGAACGGAAGAAGAAAGGATTTTGGAGGGAGGAGTGTAGGGATTCTGATTGCACTCTGCACATGCTTTTACGTCATCCGCGTTTCCGTCATAACCCCGCGCCATCATACTGGGCCTCGTCTTCCTCCCGTCTGCTGCCAGCCTATACAGCCTTTATTTTTTCCCGACCTCACCCTCTCTCTCGTCTTTGCTCGTCATTTTCTCCTCCTTACCACGCCACCCCACCCCATACCGCCCGATCAAACCCCGCCAGGTGTGGTTCAAGTCGCTGTTCTACGGTCTGGCGTTTGAGCCCTTTGGCCCCATCGTCAACATGGTGTTTCAGATCAGCCGGGCCATCCGGCAGTTCATGGTGATGCTGTTCATGTGCTGCTGCGCCTTTGGGGTGTCCCTCATGGTGCTGTCGCAGTACTCCACCACGTCCTACCTGGGTCTTCCTGATCAGTACTCGCGGGACGGCGGGCAAGGTGCGGCTAAGGAGGCAACCTGGCGGGCACAGGAGGGAGGGGGAGATGGGGGAGATGGGGGAGGGTTTGCCAGCAGAGAGGTGGCCCCGTGCGGGTGTGCTACCGGGGTCGGGGCGCTAGGTGGGTCATGATACCGGTAGCAGGGGCCTCGTGGTAGGGGACTGCATCGCTTTCTGATTCGCTGGATTTGTGAGGGGAGGGCGGGACCGCGGCGCCGTGGCGCATGACGCGGCCCGTCGGCCTTCCAATGTGTCTGTAATGTGTATCTGTACTGTGTCTCGAGTCATGGCGAAGGCAATGGACTGCTTGGTACATCAACTACTACTCTCACTATTATTATTATTGTTCTTGTTCTTACTCTTTCCGCTGCTGTTGCTGCTGCTGCTCCTGTTGCTGCAGACTTTGGCCGCACGCTGTTCACCATGTGGCGGGCCGTGTTGGGTCAGTTTGACGTCAGCTGGGTGTGGGGCAGCGCCTGGCAGGAGCTGTCCATTCTGTTCTTCTCCGGCTTCATGTTTGCGGTGCAGATCCTGCTGCTCAACATGCTCATCGCGCTGATGCGGGAGGTCTACAACCGAGTCAAGAATACAGAGGAGGACGTGTTCCTCAAGGTGTGTGGGATTCGGTGCGGCAAGGAAGAGTTGGAAGCGGGGAACTTCCTCGGCTTCGTCCCCTGCTGCTGTTCTTCCGCTGCTGGTCTAGGGTTTTAGGATTTAAGGTCCGGTGTGGGCTGTATGCAGCGTGTGTTGGGGTGGTGCCGCTGGCCGGTGAAGTGCGGAGGCGAGCTTAGGGGCTCGGGGGCTTCAGGATGGGGGGGAATGACGGTGAGCGCCTAGGGTTAGGTGGCGAGTTAGGGTGCAGTGCAGTGCAGTCCAGTGCGAAGGGGGGGATGGATCAATGGATGTTTTGACGGCCTTTTGTTAGGCGAGTGCGGGTTTGCCTGCTTTGCTGCAGCGGACCCCTCGCAGGACTGCCCTCACCCACTTTCATCCGTCACGCATGCGCACACTCCTTGTCTATATTTCTCTTGCCTCTGCCGTCGGCCTTATTGCGGGCGCTTACAGGGTCGGGCCACGCTGATTGTGGAGGTGGAGACGCTGATGGCCCGCAAGCAGCTGGAACGGTATGCCAACATGCCCCCCTACGTGCACCTGCTCACCCCGGTCAAGCGCAACGACGTGAGGGACCGATCCGGATTGGAGGCGCGACTGGAGAAGATGGAGCAGATGCTCATGTGGGTGCGGGGGTGTCTGGTTGGCCTGGGGGGTGGGGGTAGGGGTGATGTGAACGGAGGGGGGGATGGTAGGGTGGCGGGTGCGCGGCGCTGGTGGTTGTTGGAGGAGAGGAGGGTGGAGGAGGTTGTTCGGCGGGCCTAGAAACACCGTTCCGATTGTGCCATGCTGTTTCCTACCATCGTCCCCTTTCCCTCGGCAATCTCCCCAAGTTGTGAGCGCCCTCCCAGCAACTTAACAAAAACATCACCGACCTCGCTACCGTTGTTAATCCGTCGTTAATCCCCTTTCCCTGATTATAAATCGTCAATAATGTGTCCCATTGCGGTTCCCGTTGATCGGTCTTGATGAGCTCCCAGTGAAGGTCGGGTCCCACTTGTGCTTGTGCAGGAAGCTGCAAGACGCGCTGGACCAGGGGCTCGTGGGGCCACGTGGCGCACCCGTGGCGGCGCTCCCGCCAGCCGGGGGACCCGTGGGTCACCTGGTTGGCGGAGACGGGCACGGCGGAGATGGCTCCAACATCAACACGGCGGCGCTGACCCAGGAGCAGCTCAACCTGATTCAGCTGCAGGCTGGCAAGCTGAAGGAGATGGAGGACCAGTTCCCGGCGGTGCTGCGGCAGCTGGATAGAGTGCAGCGGTCCGTGAATAACCAGGTAGGAAAGAGGAAGAGGAAGAAGGAGAAGAAGAGGAAGAAGAGGAGAAGGGGCCAGGAGTGGAGGAGGTTGCTGCTCTGGACTTGTCGTATTAACCCCATCTGCCGTTTCCATAGGACCTCCATCTTCGCCTCCCTCCCCTTCTCTTTCTCCCTCCCTCTTTCTTTTATGGCCTTCCCTCCATAACGTCCATGGGCCCCCCGGCTTTTACGGACACACCCGCACTTGTGTGCGGAACTTGTAACTTGTAACATAACCGGGTTCCTTGCCATGAAACCTAACCTAGAACCCCACCTCGACGGCTCCACTCGTTTTTCTTTCTCTCTTCCCTCTCACCACCTGCGTGCCTTCACACACACACAAGCACTCATACACGTACCAAATCCACCCCCCCTCCTAACTCCCCAACCGTCACCCGTTCAGGAGCTTCGGTTGGAGGGTGTGGTGACGGTGCTCCGTGATATCGAGAATCTGCTCCGGAACCAGCAGCCCGTCGTGATCCATCAGGAGAATCGGCCCATGCCGCGACGTGGATCCGTTCTCACGGAGGCGGAGCTGGAGGCGGAGGTCAAGAGGCTGCTGGGCAAGGGAGACGAGAAGCTGTGAGCAAGAGGAGGAGGAGGAGGAGGCGGAGGATCGGCTGCTGCTGGACAAAAGCAGTGCACGCTGTTTCGACAAGGAGCTGCTGGGGTATGGAAGTATTGATTATTCGCGCGCTTTTGCACCTCACGCGTCATTATGGACCTGACGTTGCATCCCTGCCTTAAATTCAACTCTCCACACGCATGTAGACGACAGCGGCGTGCGACATTGCTCTTCGTGTGTATTATGATGATGGTGATGATGATGATGATGATGATGATGATGGTGATGATGATGATGGTGATGATGATGGTGATCCACATGTCGCGTGAACGAGGGGAGGTCGGTCAACTACTAGCACACAAAGGAAGGAAAGGCATACGTGCAATAATCTGTGACGCGCACTTGCTCGTGTGCATGCGTGTGCGCCCTTCAAATCGCGTGTGCGTGCATGCTTAGTACGTGTACGTGTGCGCGACGATTATGTGTATAGCTGTGAACGCTACATGCTTATCGCCATCATCTTTGTCATCCGGGATTGCGGACTATGACACTGAAAGTTCATTTTGAAGAACAGCAACCACGATGCGCAACGTGGTGCGTGGATACGACATATATACTTACAGTCGTTGCTGGGTGTGCGTCTGAAGTAAGTTGCTTGCCGTCAAGATTGCGACGAACCGGCCAGCAGTAGCAGTGACTCCTACAGCCGGTTGCTGGCTAATTGGCTAACAAAGTTGTGTGTGTGTCTGGCTGACGAGAGGAATGGCTGGCTGGCTGAGGAATTGACGCCCCAGCCCTAGGTATCTATCCGTATTTACATTTGTACTTCGTGTACATGCGTATGTAGATGTGTCCGTGCGTGCATATATGCGCGTATCATGCGGCGGCGGCAGGTGTGAATTTCTATTTTTCCGCAGCAAGGGGAAGAGATGGAGGCAGGGCATGGGCACTGGCAAAAGAGAGTAGTGGGTACATACATGGCCGAGGTGATTCACAGGGGAGTTAAAGAGCAATTGCGCGCGCGCGGGTGGAGGTGCCAACACACTCCTCGATAGTGGAACCTTAAATTTTTGTTGAACTGATGCTGCGATGAGCTAAAGGTTCATGATTACGTACACGCAAAATTGTTGTATGTTTGCATGTTCGCGACGTGGGCGCATGGCGGCGAAGGGCTAGCTGCTGACGTTTATGCGTGCGCGGCGGTAAGCTAGCTGTGGCAGCGCTTGCCCAGGCAGTTAGGCACACTTACATGACATTTGCCTAGCCCGTCCAATACGCAGCGCTGCCTGGAAAGGATGCACGTAGGCTAGCTGGCTGTGTGGCTGTATGAGGAAAGTTCTAAGCAATTACGTGCCAGCAGCCCAGGTGCCAATCCATATCCGCGACCGCGTATGCGTGATGAATGGACGAGTGCCTTGGTAAGGATGCATTGTGAAAGACTTAGGGCAGTAGAGCAACGCTCGCCGCCTTGCTTGGCGAGGTGGGATGACCTGCGGCATCGGGGCCAGCCAGGCAGTCGCACTAGGTGGTGCATGTTATATAGGGTGGTGTACACTACACTACTTTTCTGGCCGCTTGCGCTGTTGGCTGGTGCCTACTTTGGCTCCATAAGCGATGAGGGTACGTGTACATGCTGCCTGGAGCACCACGCCGCGGTTTGCATCCGCTGTTGCTGGAGACACATGAAGTTGGTGGGGTTTGTTAAAAATACAAATCATACGTGCATCATACATGTTAGTAGTAGCATGTTATTGTTGTTATTGTGGGTGGGGTACTTCTCGGTGGAGGTGTTTTGGGAGTGAATCCCGTCTCTGTTTGCTTGTATGTACATATTTTGTGTGAGAAGGCTCAAGCCTGGACCGCATTAAGATGTGTGGATGGATGGATGGATTGGTACGCGTCTGCACGCATTTTAATTATTCCTGGACCGCGTGCAAAAATAGTGTTGGTGGTGCTGCTGCTACCGCCGCTGATGCTACTTCTGCTGGGCATGGAGAATTACTAGTTTGCTAAGCCACACAACTTCCCCTTAATTTTGTTCCAAATTAAGTGTTAAGGAATTTACCATTTTTTCCCCGACCGTCTGTCAAGCTCGGTAACTAAGCAGCTGCACTTTTCGGGCGGAGCAAAAGCCCTGCTAGGAAGTGTCCCATATCTAAGTAGCGTGGAAGGGCCTAGTGTGAGATATAGACAGCGCAGCTTGCTTGCTTCCAACAGGTTGCAGCCCCTTTGGCCAGGGTTCGACGTGATTACGACATATCCTTTTGGGCTTTCGCGTGACAAATGTATTCATCAAAAGGGTAACGGAGGGAACGGTAGCGTCACCACTGGCACATGCACCTATGGAGGCACTGTCTAGGGCGGCGAGAACGACACCCCCAAACCCGTCACCGCCTGCTGCTCCAAGTTGACGGAAAAATGGATGGACAGCCTGAGCGCTGCCTCATCCGTCAACGCCAGTCGTGTTACCACCACGCTCGAGCAGCCGGTTGACGACTTGAAAGGATCTGCACACCCTGTGTCAACACCATCCACCACCGAGCACTAAAGCTGCTACAGGTCCTAGTGTGCAAAACCCTAGTTGATCTCCTCATCCTCATCCTCCCTCTCTTCCCTCTCCCACGCCATGAATCATTACCACTCTCCTCACACTTCCTGCAGCTCCTTTCCCTTGTTTTTCCCTTCTTCCAACCCCCTTCCCTTCCTTCCACACCCTCTTCTTCCCCGCTCCCTTCCCTCCTCATTTCCTTGGAGCCTACACGAGTCCCTCTCCATCCTCTTCCGACCGCACATGCCGCCGCAGATCCGCAACGAAGCGGCGGATGTTGGCCATGCCTGGATGGATGGCAAGAGCGGACTCGAACGACGACAGCGCCTCGGGAAATTTGGAAAGCTGCAACTGACACAGACCCATGCCTGACGCCGCACCAAAGTGATACGGCTGTACGACACATGAAACGTGCCGTTCAGTACGGTTCCGTCGTACAGCATGGTACCGTGCATGGCGAACAGGAGAGAAGCACAAGGGCAAGGAGGACGGAGTAGGCGGGGTGGAAACCAGCGGCCAATCAGCGGAAGGGGTGGATGCGTTTTGTGTTTGTGTTTGTGTGTGTATGTTTGCGCTGTCCATATGTGAGTGACAAGATGATGTGTGATGAAGGGTGGGAGCTCCGGGGACAGAGGGGTTGGCAGGTGCCACCTTGTGCGGTGTGGCAATGTTTCTCCCTCCCCCCCCCCCCCGACCCGCAACCCCTAACACCCCGATCCGCACACCTGCATTTCCAGCACCAGTTGGCAGTCCTGGATGCTGCTCTCATATCGGCCCATCAGGTAGTGTACCGTGGCTCTCTTGTTGTAACCCTGGGGCCCCGGGTGGCGCACACGGGGACGGGGACGGGGGAAGGCATACGCACACACATTCACAGCCGTACTGGCAAGAGCCAAGAAAGGTCCGGGGCTCACCTCACATCGGCCTATCGAATCCCAACCAATACACTGCCTTTTTGGAGTTTTTCCCAATCTAATTCATCCGGCAGCCAGCCATCCGGTCGCCATAAGTCCTTCAAGGCACCGCACGTGTGTCGTACCTCCACGAACGAGGGCTGCATCTTGATGATCTGATTGAAGACCTCCAACGCTTTGTCGTACGTTCCCGGAGATCGCATGTACGAACATCCCTCCGCCATGAGTTCATTAATCCGGGGGTCCCTTACAAGGGGGAAAACAGAAGGGGAGAAAGAGGCGCACTGTGTCCCAAAGGGGGCCCCCCACGTGTGTGTATGTGTATTTGTGCGAACGTTACAAGTATCTGACCGAAAGACCGCCTAAGCTCTCTCCCCCGGACGGGAGAGGGGCGTGAGGGGCCGCTGTCCCCTCCTAAGCAGCCGAGAGCCGCAGGTCTGTGTGCGTCTGTGTGAAGTGGGGGGGAGATCCATTTGGGGCTGTTTTAGTGCGTTCAGGTCCCACGGGGTACGGGCCGGACAACTCCCCCCCCTCTGCCCCTGTCATTTCCCCCCCACACCCCCCACACACCATCTGACCGCACCACCTTTCCTCCAATACATACATACATACGTAGATGTCCCCGTATCACATCTGGGACAGCGACTGTGGAAGCTACTGCGGTGTAGCGGCTAGCACCTGGCCCTACCTCCCGCCCTCCAGCCCTAGGGGTCCCCGAATACACACACATCCGCAACTACCCCCTAGCTCACCTCGCCTTCATGAATAGGGCCCACATGGCCTTCTCCGCGGCATCTGACAGCTCCGGAACCGCTAGGCAACCGGCCAGGTCGGGAATGACAGCGGGTTCACCCGCCTCGGCTGCGAGACAGGCATACACAAAGTGTCAAAACACATGCACACATGCACACACATACGTGGAGAACCACCCGGCCTCACCCCACACCCACCAGCTCACCAGCCAGCCACCTCAGATCTTCACCCACCCACCTTCACGCACCTACCTAGGTTGCTGATGGTTTGCAGCTGCTCGTGGACGGTGCCTGACCTGAGCTTAGCCACCTGTCCCAGAGCGTATTGCAGCACCGGGGGCAGGCTCTCGAGCAGCACCTGGAACAGAAGGTGAAGGGAGAAGATTGGAGTACTGTGCGGCAGAAAGGCTAAGCGGGGCGGTTCAAGGGAAAGGAGATCAAGATCTGAACCGATGGGGCCGCTGGGGCTTGGCGGACAATGTCGGTTGGTCACCTGCCTAGGAATTCAAGCGTACCTTTTGCTCGTCTCGAAGCCTCGCAGCGAGCACATAATCCTCATCCGCCACTGCAACCTTCAGTTGCCTGCACGACGCTGGTGAAGAGATTAACTAGGTTTTCCACGCCTATTGCATGGATGGCAGGGGAGAGGGGAAACTGCCAAAGCCAGACGTATAGACAGTGCCGAGCCTTATGTAAGGATAGGAAAACAGAGATCATCAGAGAATCACCTTTGGATGAGGCTTAATCGCTGCCAGGTCTCGTCGACATTCACGTCAACGACTCCCAAGCCTCTGGACTTTGGTGCCTCATCAGATAGCGATGCTTTTTGCAGCAGGTACGCGCTGCTACGAGTAAATAGCTTGTTTTTGTGCCACGAGGAGCAAACGCTGATAGTAGTATCCCGTTTGTGCTTTGGTGCAGAAAAAGACCGAAGTGCGCGCATACTGCGACGGACTTACAGTTTTGTAATATATTACTAAGTAAATCTTGTGCTAATTGGTATCCGGTATGTTCTCTGGAGCTTTCGTGGAAACCCTATCGTATGGTCGTCGTATGGATGTTATCCTTATACACAGTTAAGGTGAAGTCCATTGCATCTAATTAAAATGTGTTAAAGATGGTGTGTTGTTATTTGCTGCAAGCCTGCTGGAATGGGTGCTGTGGTGTCAGGGTCGTTGCTTGTGCAACGCATAAACCGAACAGGGTCCCGTACTCCCGCAATACATACGGTGTGTGAGCAGCAAGATCTCCTGTCAACAACAACAGCGAGTTAAACGAGCTTAGCTCATCAACGCATGGACATACGGGCCTGTAGTAAGACTGCCCACGTATTCCGCTTGTTTGGCTCTAATTTGGGCCTCGAACCCACAATAGCCCCCAGGCCCCACATCCAAAAGCAACCACAGCACCGTATCCATGCCCAGCACATTGCCTCCACCGCCACCAGTTTCAGGACCGTCTCCTCCGCGGCTTCATCTCCGCCGCAACCACAGCCACAGACACATGTGGAGGCCTGCCTTTCCCAACACCGATAATTCCTTGCCGTACACGCATGTGCACGTGCGATCAGTCGCAACTCTTGAGAGCATTTACTTTCGGCAGTTGCAGCAGCACCATCATCGCCACCACCTCACACACCAGCCAACCCATCTCCCCAAGTATACCTTATTTTCCTGTCTTAGCCATTGCCAGGCACTGTCCGTCGCAATTTCAATGGACGCGGGCGAGGGGGTTGCCTCTCCTTTCAGACGGCTCCTCGCATCCTCAGGCTCCGAACCTGAGTCTCCCGCTTCCTCGTCCTCTTCCTCGGAGTCAAAGCCGGAGTCAACACAGACACACAGACAGACACACAGACAGACACGAACACACGCAGACAGACACACGCACGCACAGGGCTCGGACAGACACGCAATAACAGCTCTCTTATTTTATTTGTGGCTTAGGCGTTGGAGATTGAAGACCCGTCCTTATACCTATCCCGCGGAGGAGGGGAATGCGCCATGAGCCCCCGGACCACCCGAGCAAGGCACATCAGGGGAAAGGAGGGACGATACTCTTGAATACGGCATAGTACGGGAGCGAGGGCACGGCTGCTAGGGCTGCCTGGTATAGCTGAATGACTCACGCCCCGAGGAACACATACGCATGTCGATGTGATAACATCTGGATTTGCTTGCCCGGACGGACGGACGGACGGACGGGCACACAACACAGTGACACAGTCGACAGAGCCGCCAAGTTGGGCTGACGGTGTGCGGACCTGGCTTTGCTGCATTGCTGCTTTGCCGATTTCGAGCCGGCCTTACCTTTCCTCTAAGATGTTCCGATACGATTTGTTGAATGTGCTTTTGTTGCTGCTGCCTCTGCCAGCAGCTACCAGCCTGCTACTGCGGCTAATGGGCTGGGGAGATGGAGGTGGAGATAGGGGCCTGCGGTGGTGTCTATCCCTAAACTAATCCAAGAACTACTATCAAAAGCATATCCATCTGAATTATTTGGTCGTGGTGGACTATTTAATATACTTAAAAAGCAAATAGTAGAGAGAATTCTTGAAAGTGAATTAGATCACGATCTAGGTTATCCTAGTTTTGAAAGGCCGGCAGCTTCACTGCCCCGGGAGGGCGGGAAGGTGGGGGGTTGGTGGGAGGGGAGATCAGGACAGGTGCGTGGAACGCAAAAGAGGGTACGGCAGCTGCAAGATGGGGGGTGGCAGTAGTAAGGGTGACGTAGCAGTAGCAGACGTATAATAACTGACATCAATGGCAGCTGTGGTGCTGCCCACCTCCTCCTCCATTCTTTTCCCCTCCAAGCCACATTCACTCGCGCGCTCGCACGTTCAACGTGGATATCAAGGGCACTGCGTGGCTCTGTACGGCGCAATGTACGACTGTAACCGTGCGATCTTTACATTACTGCGGTTATCATGCCTTCTCCTCCTCCTCCTCAACGCCACCCTCACCACAACCGCACGCATTGGCGCAACCCGCAAAACAAAACGTATTTCGACGCAACAAAGCCACACACCTACATCCACTAGACCGGTGCGTTTTGCAGCCTAGTCGCGCAACGGGGTTGGTTACAAAGCCTTTATAAACCAGCTGCTGGCACGACTATACCGGATTTGGCGATGTAAGAGGCGATGAACCACCCACAAGAAAGAGGCCGAGAGCGCTGATGACCAACAAGATGAATCGTATCCCTTTTTACTGCTTCTGCTCCGGTTGCTGCCGTACTTCGCCGTACACATCCTCCCGTGCCAAGGCCTCCAGCGCGTCCGGCGGGCTCCCCAATTTGCCCGGGTTCATGATGTCGTACGGATCCAGCGCTGCCTTGAGCGCGTGCATTACCTCCAACGGCGCACGGCCATGCTCGGCCATCAAGTACGGCAACTTGCCGTACCCGATACCGTGCTCGCCGGTGCAGGTACCCTGCATTGCCAGATGGGTTATGTGGTTGGATGGGGGGAGGGGGAGGGGGAGATTTCACAGGGCGGCGCGGTTCAGTCGGGGGTCGGGGGTCATCCCATGCTGAAGATGAGTGAGTGACGTGGGAGGTAATGGATTGATAAGGAAGGGGAGTAAGCAGCCACTTTCTCCCTTCCCCCCACGCACAAACGCACACGGCTCCCGCGGCCCAACCTTCACTCACTCACTCACTCACTCACTCTCACTCACTATCACACTCACTCACTCTCATTCTCACTCACTCTCACTCACTCTCCCTCACTATCACACTCACTCTCCCTCACTCTCCCTCACTCTCCCTCACTATCACACACTATCACACTCACTCTCACTCACTATCACACTCACTCTCACTCTCACTCACTATCACACTCACTCACTCTCATTCACTCACTCACTCACTCACTCACTCTCACTCACTCTCACTCACTCTCACTCACTCTCACTCACTCTCACTCACTCTCACTCACTCTCACTCACTCTCACTCACTCTCACTCACTCTCACTCACTATCACACTCACTCTCACTCACTATCACTCACTATCACACTCACTCTCACTCACTCTCACTCACTATCACACTCACTCTCACTCACTATCACACTCACTCTCACTCACTCTCACTCACTATCACACTCACTCTCACTCACTATCACTCACTCACTATCTCACTCACTATCACTCACTATCACACTCACTATCACACTCACTCTCACTCACTATCACACTCACTATCACACTCACTATCACTCACTCACTATCACATTCACTATCACGCACCTGCATCCTCAGCGCCCGATGCACCATGCGACCCACCACCCCCCGCGCCCTCTCCACCTCCTCGGCATCCCCCGGGTCCACCACCAGCATCATGTGGAAGTTGCCATCCCCCACGTGCCCGACCATGGGCGCCAACAAGCCTGAGTACGGAGACGAAGAGAGGCGGGAGAGGAAGGAGTGTGTGTGAGGGTTACATACTTACAGGCCGTACAAGACCGTACATGGCCGTACATGGGGGTTACTTTCTTCTTTTAAGAAGAAGTCAGGTCGGGATCACCCGGGGTCGAACAAGGAACTGCGAGAAGAAAGCTGTCTGGTAGCTGCAGGGGTAGCCGAGGTCATAGTAACAGCAGTAACAGCAGTATTAGCAGTAATAGCAGCAGCAGTATTGGCAGTAGTAGCAGTAGTAGCAGTACTTGCAGCAGTAGCAACAGCAGTAATAGCAGCAGCAGCAGCGGTGGTGGTGGTGGTGGTGGACAAGGGGGCTCCTGGTGGGGAGGAGGATAAAGGGAAAGAGCCTGGGGGGAAAAGAACGACAGAACCCATTTTTCCCTCGCCCCTTTGTTCCTCCCGTACCTGCTTGCCGTGCATCTTCCTGGCTCTCCAGGATGCACCTGGTCAGGCTGGAGATGGGCACACACACGTCCGTGGGAAAACCCTGGGGGGAGCCGTGGGGGGGAGGTTGCGGGGGGGAAATCATAATGGACAGGAAACAAGTAATCCGTTGCCGATATGTGGTGGTGGTACAGGGAGCCAGAGAAGGCGGTCAGGGGCCCAGGGGCAAAACAGAACCACCAAAAGAGGCAGAGGTAGAACGGCGGCGGAGAGCTGAGCTACACGCACATACATACATGCATACATTCCGTTCGCGCCCACCTACCTTGCAGCCCGGCCGAAGACCGATGGCCGCCCAGTAGGCGCTGTGGCGGGCCTTCCAGAGCTGTGTGTGTATGTGTGTTGGGGGGGAGTGGGGCGGGGTGAGGTTGGGGGGAGAGGAACAGAGAAGAGGGTGCCGGATGAAGGACGGACGCACACCCGCACCTAGCCGGGTACGGCATAAAACACCCTTCCCCTTCCCGCAGACCAACAAAACACTTCCCCTTTCCCCCCTTTCCCCCCTGCTACCCCTTTTTGGGTCTCACCCTCGCACGATCCTCGGGCGAGGTGGCCCACTCGAATCCGGATCCGCCGTACTCTCGAGCGAGGGAGCCCACAAGTTCAGCTTGCTCCGAAACCACAGCGGAGGAACCCCCATGGAACTCTGTACAGGAGTAAAAGCGGGGTTGCGTATGTGTGTATATGTAAATGTATATGTAAGTAAGTGTGTATGTTTATAGGGTTAAGGGTGGTGTAATTGTTTTGGTTGTCGGGGACACTTCCCCATCTCAATACCCAGCCACGTCATCCGTACGACAAACCATACAACACAGCAAATCGTCCTACCAAAGAACAAGGTGGGCGCCACGGTGAAGGTGGTACCCGAATACTTGTTTACGGCCTGAGGGTGGTTAAGGTGGTTGTGGTGGTTGCGACCTGGTGGGTTGGGAGTCATAAACTGTAACTAACAAGAATGAACAAAAACTGGTAGGTGAGTGGTGGCGGTAGTGGTAGTGGTGGCTGTGGTGGGTCTCACCACACCCCCAAACCCTACTCCATTCATCCCTCTCTCCCCCCTTCTCTTCCCCCCTCCCTCCCTCCCACCCACCCAAACACCCTCCCCCCCCCTGCCCACCTGCCCCCCTGCCTACCTGTATGCTCAGCTCATCCAGCAGCTCCACCCTCGCTACGGGCACTCCACAACCCATCACCGCCACCACACACTCCACGGCACCGCGGAGACCGCCCACTGACCCATGGGTCTCCGGGAATGTGACGACAGCTGCCGCCACCGCCTCGGGCACCGGATGCAACCGCAGAGCCACCTGCATGGCCATATGTGTGTATGTATGTGTGTGAGTGCGTGCGTGTTTATGGGGTTTCAAATCACATCGCGGCGGGGAAAAGCAGCCTGGAGCCTGGCGGTTATGGGTGAATGTAACGCCAACACAGTGTGTTCAACGCGACCCACTTCCCTCCCCCTCCCCCCCTCCTCCCCCTCCCCTCCCCGCCCCCCCTCCTCCCCCTCCCCTCCCCGCCCCCCCCCTCCCCCTCCCCCCTGCCCCCCTCCCCCTCCCCCTCCTGTCATCCTCCCCCTCCCCCCCTCCCCCTCCTGTCATCCTCACCTCCGTCACCACCCCCAGAGTCCCCTCACTGCCCACAAACAGCGCGGTCAGGTCGTAACCCGCGGAGGACTTGCGACAACGGCGACCTGTACGGATGATACGACTGTGCGGAGGGGGGA